CTCTGGCTGGACCGGGAGGGTGGGGGGGTTGCCCGGACAGCGTCTGGGGACGGTGAGCTCCCAGGTAGGTTTCTGTAAGGTGGTGTTGCCCCTTCGGACCACCGCCCGCCTGGCCTGTTCCCGCTTCATCAGGAAACTTCGTTTTCTCTTCAGCGTTGATTTTGTATGAAAGTCCCAGAAGCACTGATGTCCCGCTTCTCGTGGTTCACTACCTTGTGCCAGCTGTGGAGGAGGCACAGCCTGTCCCTGGGGCTGGCATTAGGGCAGAGAAAGGAGCGACGCAGGATTCCTTTCAGTGGGAGTGTGTAAATCTGGAGAGGGCCGTCTGTCTGTCTGTCTGTCTGTCTGAAATAGCGCACACGCTGGTGAGCTGTCTCACTTGTCACCTGCGTGTCAGTGGCCGTGCTAGGCTGGCGGCTGGTGTGGGTTAGCCCAGGTGAAGTCCTGCCCCTCAGTTTGCAGCCCCCACTCGCCCGCTGGGTGCTGGCCAGGGAAGCGGGCTCCTCCCTGCCTCCTGGCTCCCGCTCCTCCGGAGGTGGAGGAGGGCTTCCCTCTTTAAAACCCCCTGCCCTGGCTTCAGGGACACAGGGCTCTGTTCCAGCTGTTGCTGCGTGGGCTTCTCCGTGGTTTTCTGGACATCGGTGGCCCTTCTTAGGACTGGGCACCAATCTCTTTACTTCCCGGTAGGCCTGCCGTTCTCTTCTTCCCGGACTCTTCTGCACTGTGGCCCAACGCAGATCCCTGTGTCTGCCTCGCACAATTCCCATCTGTGCCTCTAAATGTCAGTCCGCTGGACGCCACTGTCACCTAGGTACCTGCCACAGAGCCTGACACATGCTGCCTGTGAATGCATGTTAAATGGTTCTCTTTTAGCTGATACATATGTAAGCTGTAAGATTGTGTCATTATTTACATATTTTAAATTCTGCTCTTTTATAGTTTTAAGGAATTCACATGCTCATACATTTAAGCATTATTTTAGAGCAATAGAGATACAGCAGTGTAACCAAGATTTAGACGAAAGACAAAGTGTGGTCCCACCGGCTTTGCACTGTATAAAAGGAGACTTTCACATGAGCGACTGTCCTACCGGGGGTGTTGTTATGACAGAGGGAATGAAAGAGCTTGGAGGGCCCGGCTGTGGGACCCCAGGCTGAGCCAGTCAGGGAGGGAGGCCTCAGAGACCACGGGTAAGCTGGGAGGTGAAGGCGTGGATGGTAAAGGGACAGGAGACTTCACGGCATTTGGATGGAATTAAGGTTGCGTTTGACTTAACAGAGGAGAGTTCATTTGAAGCTTGTAGAAGAAGTAATTCCGAACCTAGGCGATGGTCAGCCTGCTCTGTGTCCTCGGCGGTTGGCGGCGAGGCTGTCGGTACATGCGACCAGCCGTCGGAAGTGCCGCGTGTCGGCCGGGAAGGGGCACCTCTGTGTGCGAGCCGCCGGGACTCGCTGTGGCCATCGCCTGCCGGGGGCAGTGTGTCCCGCTGGGAGCGTCGCCAGCTCGCCCTTGCCAGGTTACCACTGGCGATGCCTCTCCGATGGGCACTTTGGGGCAGCTAGAGGGGGCTCATCCTGTCGTTCTCCAACTACTTAAAACCGCAATCAGGAGGGGTGGTCAGCTGCTGATAGGAAAAAAAAAAGACCTTAACTTTAAAAGGTTCTTAACTAATGAAAATCAGACTCGTGCCAAAGCAACATTTTCACACCATTAAGCGTGGCGAAGCCTTTTCCTTAAACCTCTCTTAAAAAGTCTGTAAGTATGTTTTGAGAAAACCTCAGATTCTAACGTACAAAATAGTCTTTTGTTCTCATTAAAAAGAGAGCATTGCTTTATTGAAAAATAAATACTTCAAATTACATGGGAACCCAAACCCTTGGTTTACAAATTAGAGAAGCATTTTGAGTAGCCTTTAACTGGTAGTTTTGTGAAAACAGGATACTAAGAAAACCGGTTAGAGTGATGAAGTAGGAGTTGTCTGAAGCCGCGGGGCGGGGCGGGGACAGGTTAGCCTGGCAGTTGTCTTGCTGAGCCCAGCTGGACCCACCCTCAGGACGGGTGTCGGGCCACGCGGCACCCACGGGTCCGTTACCCGCACAGGCGGAGGAGGGCATGTTGGCCGCTGGGGGAATTCTGTTGTTGTTTTTTTGTGTGAAGTCCAAGAATAAATTTAATCCATTTTAATGGTCTTTTAGGTTCCAGCGTATGTTGACAATTTGCCAGGTAGCTGTCAGCGTTCTGGAGAGAGAGAGAGAAATTGGACATTGTAGTTTGATAGAAAAATCAAAGAAAGAAAGGAGTTTCTGTGGGGATCATTTATTTCCCCTTCTCTTATTGGGAATTGAATGATTGTTATTTGAGCAGCATTACCTGGGAAATCACATTTCTTTTTGTAACAGTTCTTCATTTTTGAGAGTAGATGAGTCAAAGGTAAGGAAACATCGTCAACACTGTATTTTCCAGTGGCCCTTTTCACTGTCTTACAGAAGTTACTTCTGTCAGTTGTTGTTCTTTCAATCCTCACCCGAGGATATGCTTTTTTTTTTTTAATTGATTTTTAGAGAGGGGAGAGAGAGAGAGAGATCCTGCAGCAGTCGAAGGAGATACGGATGAGCTTGAGGTTCTGAATCATTTCAACCCGAGTTCTAAAAACCTTTCCTGACAGTGCATGTTGAAACTACTCAACAAAATGATATAACTGATCTGAGCTTTTCACTTTCTTAATACTTCTCTCATATGCCTGTTGTGTTGAAGAATTTTATTGAAATGAGACTGTAAAGTATGCTAAACAAAGTAAAATGATTACCTGTTCTTGTACAGTATTAATCGTTTTTTCCTTTGAGAATAAGTTAGAGGCTTGCTCAGCTTTGTGTGTACGGAGTGTGGTTATGTGAGGTTATGGGTTATTTTGCTGTGAGGATTAATGAACTGTTATTTTATTTTTTTGTAGGTCTCATCACAACTACATCAAGGAAACTAGATCGAGAGCAGCAAGATGAACACATATTAGAAGTGAGCATTTATTTTTAGTTACTTTAAAAATTTAGTTGTAAATATCATGGGAAAGAGCAGTCTTGTTCACATTAACTCGCATTCATAGCTGTTAATATTTTGTTAATTAGTTTCCTGTCATTAATAAGAAGGAAAATAAAACATTGTGAATATATTTTATATCCCCTGTATATCCCTGTCTGTCCCAGAATACAAGACCACTGTCATTCTAATTTTTGTACTTTGTACATGCACATACACAGAGAGGAAACACAACTGAAAACAGTTATTTGAATTTCATTTTCATTTACATTAGTGATTTTTTTGTATGTCTTATACTCTTTTTCTTCAGTATTATGCTTTTGACANGTGATTTTTTTGTATGTCTTATACTCTTTTTCTTCAGTATTATGCTTTTGTGAGTATTAGACTTATGTGAGTAGATCTAATTCAACTTTTTAAACTGTAGTTAGCCTGTTTCCAGTTTTTTCCCCTTAAACAGTTGCATTGCTTATGCATTTTAAACTGAATTATATAAAGTTTCTGCCATTAAAAATTTTCTGAAATAAAAGTAGATTGAAAGTCTGACTGACTTTTCTAAGATGCTCTCTTCTGATGAGGCATCTTTTTCTCGGGGTATTTAAAATGCCTCCAGTCCTTGGCAGAAGAAAGACCCCTCGTCTTTTCTGCCTGCCCTGTTTTTGGTGGACAGGAGATGCCTGGCAGGGGAAGGTAGCAGGGAATGTGGCCGCAGCCTGACGCTCCTGCAGGTGCCCTGCCCGCGCTGAACCCGGGAGGGGCCGCGAGAAGGCCACCGTAGGGGAGGGGAACCGAGCACACAGTCCTGTGACCTCTGTTAACGTGTCCCCATCACACGTTAGTGGCCGGTGTTGAGTAGTGCAGCCAGACCTCTTAAAGACCAGTGCTTTCGTTTAATTGTGAATTATCTCTTCGGTACGCATAATTGAGAAAATTCTAAACTCTGATTTTTTTTTAAGTCCTGTCTTTTTATATTATTGCTGTTCATAATGCCACCTGCTTAATTTCATTTCATGCTTAGTCAAAATGTTCTAACTTTTCAGTAAAATATTTCATTTTGTAGACTATATATACACGCACATATATATATATATTATAGTGTGTGTGTGTGTATATCCTATCTAGAAAAGGCTGTTTCACAACCACAATTACAATTAGTAATTTCTTCATGTGTTACATCCAACTGTTTAGTTATAAGTTGTATAGTTCCCTTGAATTCATTTTTTTAATGATACATCAGAGTTTTCCGTTTTCATTCAGTCACTAGTGTGACTGACAGAGGGGACAATATGGTTCCCGAAGAGAAGAGACAGATGGCAGACTGTCTGGAGCAGCAGATCCCACACCTGCTCCTGCTGCACCCCGCCAGCTGCGTGCCTCACGCCAGGGCCGCTCGTGTCAGTGACTGTCAGTGGGAGCAGGTCTCAGATACTGACGGCTTCGAAGATCTTACTAAATCTTAAAGAAGCCAGTTTTTTTAGTCACGTGTTCAAAACCGTGCTATTGGCTCTTGATCGTTGAACCCCAAGCTTAGGAACAGTTTGATGATGAATTCTATAAAGCATAATGCTTGCTCGTATTTCTCTTTAATTTTTCTTCCCAAATAGCATGAAAACTGATCAAAAGGAAATGTTTTGAGACATTAAAATTACTGTAGTAATTTTTATTTTGAGAGTTTGGGAAGGTAAATTGTGTGTACTTGAAGGAAAGCAACTGTTTTACTTAAATACTTCTGACAGCTACGGTTGGGACCCATTCAAACTTGCATAAATAACAGGATTTACACCTGCCAAGCTTCAAACAGAAAATGGTTCTGTGGGAAACTTCAGCGGGCTCTAGTTTTTAGTGTTTCGGTAATTAATCTGGGAGGATGCGGGTGAGGGTGGGGTAACTGTTACTAAGGCCGTTACCGTTAATCTACACACTGAAGTGAAAGTGGACATTGGATTTCAGGGTAGGATTGTTTCTTACGCATCTAGACGCACACCGCAGTGCATCCTCAGGGATCCTCGATTTTTATTCCTAAACTGATCACAGTAACTTACTTAGAATAAAAGTTATTTTACATTTCTTTTACTGAAAATTTTATTTCATAAATTGGTCTTAAATTTAAATGTTTATGTTCACCCTACTAAACATGGAAAACTTCTGTGCAAGAGCCAAACAAAATACAAAATAAAATGATTACTAGTATTAAAAGGCATGCTGCTTAACATACATTTTAAATGGATCATTTAGCTTATTTTATTGATGAAACTTAAAAATAATAGTTTTTTAATGTACTATGTGGAGATTTTATTTTTAAGTGTATGCAGTGTATATATTTTTAAGAGGACTCTTTAGATATTTAAAGCAAAATCTTAATGTATTATCTCTTCCTTGGCTTAAAAATACTAAGTTTTTGATAGCTTAACATTTTGGTGATGTTCACAGTACGGTAATGGTGATGTGAGGGCCCTGGCCTGGTAGCTCCGTTGGTTAGAGTGCTGTCCCGATACGCCAAGGTGCAGGTTCAGTCCCCGGTCAGGGCACATATAAGAATCAGCCAATGAATATATAAGTAAGTGGACAACAAATCACTGTCCCTCCCTCTCCCTCTCCCTCTCTAAAATAAGTTTTTTAAAAAGTGGTAGTGTGAGGAAGAGAAGTGGCCTGGTAAGGAGAAGTTAGGCGTCACAGCCAGCTCTTTCTTAGCCCTTGCCCCCTCCCCGAGTTTCTGTCTGAAACGAGAGCCGTGGCCTTGCCTCCGCACAGGGCTGTCGTCAGAAGCGGAGGACACGGTTTGGGTCAGAGCTCTGTGACCCGTAGAGGTTTTTATATAGTGTCTTTGAAAAACATCTGCTGATCTCCTGCCTTTAAAAAACAGGTTACGGTGACAGACAACGGCAGCCCTCCCAAGTCAACTGTTGCCAGAGTGATTGTGAAAATCCTTGATGAAAATGACAACAAGCCTCAGTTCCTGCAAAAGTTCTACAAAATCAGACTCCCCGAGCGGGAGCGGGCGGAGCGGGAGCGGAGCGCCAGGCGCGAGCCCATCTACCGCGTCATAGCCGCGGACCGGGACGCGGGCGCCAACGCGGAGATCTCCTACAGCATCGAGGAAGGAAACGAGCACGGCAAATTTTTCATTGAGCCGAACACCGGCCTGGTTTCATCCAAGAAGTTTTCTGGCGCTGGAGAATATGATATTCTTTCAGTGAGTTAAGATCTGGTCTTTGAATTCTTTCTTAGATATGTTGATTATTAATCTAGCCTTATGTCTCTTTCTCTTATAGCTTTGTTCAGTAAGTGGCCTCGGTATGACAAGGCGAAGTATGGGTTTGTCTTTCTCTTTTCAGCTGTTATCTGTTGAGTGTGGCGTGAAGAGGTTGCTCTTCTTACCAAGCATTAAACGCTGGGACTCCGCAAATACAGACATCGAATGTTTGAGATTGGCCCAGGCTAAGACCAGGCCAGTCTGTGTTTCGGTTATGGGATGTTACGTCTGCTCATTTGCTGTTTTTATCCCATATTTTATAGATTAAAGCAGTTGACAATGGTCGCCCCCAAAAGTGGTCAACGACTCGACTCCATATTGAATGGATCGCCAAACCCAAACCGTCCCCTGAGCCCATTTCCTTTGAAGAGTCAGTTTTTACCTTCACGGTCATGGAAAGCGACCCAGTTGCTCACATGATTGGGGTGATATCTGTTGAGCCTCCTGGTACCCCTCTTTGGTTCGACATCATTGGTAAGTGTTCTCGTGGTTGTCACTGTCCCTGTGTGGGTTACACTGAGGAGAACCTGTTAGTGCTTTTCGGATTTTTGTGCACATCTCACAATTTAAGAAGGGGAGGAAGGCCAATTTGTTTAAATTGAAGTATGATGATTGCAAAATTTATTACAATATCCAATGTATATTAAACTTGTTTAAAATAAGTGCTCTATATGTACCATCTCAATATAAAGATAAGGCTTTTTTAAGTACATCAGGGAGTTACAGAGAAACCTAAACATTTTGGTCCAAAAGTACAACTTCCAGTCCAAAAGTACAGCTTTTTAATTTTTCCTTCTTGATACGTAACATATGGCACATTAGTATTTTCAGTGAATATCATCTAATGTTTGAAATAACTATGCCCATGTGATTGTCACACATCGGTATTTTATAGGGAATAAGTTTAAAATTTTTAATTTTATAACTTAAAAACGATAGTGCCAACTGTGACTTTATAAGTTTTATTTACCTCATTTTCAGTATGAAGCCGGAATCACTAGATTAAATTATCCTGTGATAAAAATTACATGCCTAAGCCAGTTCGGTTTTTTTTGTCATTTAATTTAGCTTAGACATAGACTGTAATACCCTATTCTAACGTTAGACTTTGACATCTTAGCTTTTTTTATTCTGTTTCTTTACACTATTTTAATTATAGGGATACTTAAAATCAAAAGCATGTATTGTGAGTCATCTCTAGTTGGAGCTTCATATCCCTATTCCCTCATCCAGCCCTCAGCCACTGTACCCCCAAATGCTGTTTCAGCAAATTGAGCCTGGTAGGACATAGGCTGAGGGACCATAGGCAGGTGGTCCAGGCTTTTCCTCTTGAACTTTCACACTAGACAGGCTATTTTCATAATTTTGGTCAATGTTTGAAATTGTGGATTTCATCCATACCTATGAAACCATTACAAATTAGTTTTAAAGAAAAAAAAAAAAATTATTTTCATAGTCAGCCACAGTCAAATAGCTCGTTGGCTCTCTGTTAATTCCTGTCGTGTTTCCAGATGGGCAGCCTCTCCCTCCCGTTTAACCTGCCTGCCTTTGGACCGGTCTGATTGATGGCTCTGCCTTTTCTCTGCTCTCTTCCATGCTTGCTTGCTTCTTTCTGGCTGTGCCAGGAGACACACTGGCTAGAGACGTGTTTTACATCTTTCAGATGACTTGTGACCTGAACTGTACAGCAGAAGGTATCTGCTGAGATCACATAATTTGCCTCAGATTATGAGATCTACAATAAAAGCATCCGTTTTTAGAGCTGTTTCATTTCCAGTGACTACCTTTCATTGTCTTTGCTTTCCATAGTGTGCACATGGTCATCCGTTTTAACTGCAAAGACTCTCATCTTCCCTAGAACCTTAGTTTTAGCTGAAGAGTTTGTTTTGTGTGTGCGTGTTTTGTGTCGTGTTTGGTAAGATTTAGTAGAAGTTCATTTTGACCTTCAGACATTTTCATTCCATTTCATTGATGTAAGTATCTCAAGTTCAGTGGACTTGAAAAAAGAGTTTACCTAGAATATAATTGGCAATGCATTTGGATAATGTAAGCAGCACAGAAACTTTTGCTTCATTACCCTTTGACAACATTGGAAAAAAATTCAGATAGTTTATGAGTCATGACTAACTCTTGTTAACTACCACTATTTTTTTTTTTTTTTTTACCAAGTAACATTTGTTTTTAATAGGTATTTTTATTAGGGCAGTATGCCCAAAGTGTCCCAACTTCAAAAAAAAATTAAATTTTTAAACGGCCAACTGTGGTTACTAAATGATACCTTGTATGGCTACTGAGATATAAATGAAAGAGATATTTAGGACTCCGTAGAAAGCAAATTGGCAGTTATTCATGGGCAGTGTCAGCAATGTTTTTCTCCTTTAGAGTTGTTCTCTTACTTTCTTTCACTCAGTTTTTCCTCGACAGCTAGGTCTCCACCTTGCCTTACTAAAAGCAATGCCTTTCTCATCGCCCTTCTTTCCTTGTCTTTCAAAATGAAAGCTCCTTGGAATCACCTTGATCAGTTTGATGAATGTGTCAGAAATTTTTTTTTTTTTTTTTTTACTGCCATTAAGAATTAGAAAGCCACAAGATAACTGGCAGGTTTTCTTCCTGTTACCTGTTTTTACTTTTTTATTTGTCCTAATTTAAACCAGGTGGCAATTATGACAGTCACTTTGACGTGGACAAGGGCACTGGAACCATCATTGTTGCCAAACCTCTTGATGCCGAACAGAAATCAAACTATAACCTCACAGTGGAGGCCACAGATGGAACCAGCACTATACTGACTCAGGTAAGGGAACGATGAGGGGTGTGTTTGTCAGAGGATTTGTGACAACATTGTGATTGCAGGGTCCGCAGGCATATGAACAGTTCATTCTGCCGCCTGAGGTTCTCCAGTCAGAAGTAACTATGTTGATACAGTTAACACACATGCACACCAAGAATTTTTATTTAGGGAAAGAAAATTAACTACAAATCCCAATTTAGATTTTGCATGTAATTAACCAGTTTTGAAATTTTTGAAAGACGTAAAAACAACACACTGTTTGTTATGTCATCAAGATCTTTTCATGTTTTACTCAGCTGTGTTAGTGTAAGGCTATCCCTGTTGAGGAGGAATTGTCCAAGGCATTTTCATTGAAGCTGATTAAAGCCTTGGCTGCCCCAACTTGGGCTGTGTAAAATAACTGATAACATTGTTCTAATAAGTCCTTTAGCATCTTTATTTGTTCCTGATGATTAAGAGATGGCCAGATACTGGGATTTCAAATGTAAATGTTAAAACCCTCTCAATTAAATTTAAATTTGGCTTTTTCTTATTAATTCTCTGTGATTCTCAGTGTGGGCTGTTTTGGTAATTTGTTGAGTGCTTGCTGCGTGCGCTCAGTGCTTGGGTGTGGATTCCCAGTGCGGGTCTGAGAACAGGGAGCGGAGCAGCAGGTGGCACCTGCAGAGGGACACAGGTGAGAACGGGGCGGTAGGCGCAGGAGCGTGCAAGGGAGAGTCCCGTTCGTGGGCGCAGCTCAGGAACCAACGGCGGGTTTGCTGCGCCGAGGTCAGTAGCCGCAGGTGTCAGATGGGCTTGTCGTTAGAGAGCTTGTGGCACTGCGCCGCCCCGTGTCCTCCGTGGGGGGCGGGGGTGCCAGTGCTCTGCTGAAACAGCTCTCTGGCTTGCTGTCCTGCTGTTCTCTGCCTAGGATGCTGACCAGTGTTAATTCAGGTCGCTTTGCTTTATCTCGTACCTCAAGGCAATTGATCAAACCCAGCTGACATTGTTTTCTCTCTTTGAAACAGCTCTGCCTTCATGCTTTCTTTCAGTGTCTCTCCAGCATCCATATTGTGTACTCTGGAGCAGGCCATTTGGTTTGAATCTCAGGCTCTCTGCCTGTCTTGTCCACGGCCAAGTGGCTGTCACCCTCTGTGCTTCCTTCTCGTCTGGGTGCCTCCTTGGGTTAAGTGAGATGACTTGGGGGGGCTTGCTCTTAACGCCCGCAGGCCCCATCACCAGTCAGCGCTCACAAAGTGTCTGGATTGCGCATGGACACTGGTGTGGGCTCTGGTCCCCCCCGACACCGAGTCACCTCCCTGTCTTCATTCTTTGTTCCTGCGATTCATCCTGTACCGCCGGCTGCCAGAATGGCCTGCCTGGCTGGGAGGAAGGGTAAAGGGGAATGTCCTCTTATCAGGAGGTTCCGAGCACACAGCACGGGAAACCCTGCAGCCTCTGCCCTGGGGTCGGGCTCCGCATACCCGATCCCACCTCCTCACTGCGCCTTCATGTACTGTCCCCGTTCCAAGTGCTTCTCTCCAGTCCCTAAGAGATAAGGTGTTCTGTTCCACCCTCGCCTTCATGTCTGTGACCGAGCTCTTCCTCCTACCCAGATAGCTATACATTGTCATCTGCCAGCCCCAAACCTATGCAAGCAAAGCCTTACTTCCCCCTGAACAGCTCTCTGAATGTCCCAGCCCCTCCCTGGACTCTTAAAGACTTACTGGATCATGTAGGAAACTGCATTAGACTTTGTATGTACAAGACATTGCCCATGAGGCTGACAGCTTTGTGAGGGCAGGGGGCTGGCACATTTATTTTATACTCTCAGTGTTGCCCATATCAGTGCCCAGTAGATGTTTCAGTTGAATGACCTTATCAGAAATGGCTGTGTTTACTTTACCTGTTCCTGTTTATTTGCGATGAATGATCTTGGAGCAGGATTAAACTATTTCTGACCAACACTCCACGAGAAAAACAATTTTTAAATTTATAGTGGAAATAAATATATGATGATTTAATTTATAGAAATTGCCTTTCTACCCATCCCTTCTGGATCACCATTGACATTTAAGAGCGAGGCATCGTAGTTTTAAATATTTACATAACTTTCACATAAAGCCTTTCTGTGCTTTGGTGACTGCATTTAGTATTCACATAAAGTTTGTTGTTACAATCCATCACTGATTTAGTGTTCTCTGAGCACTGGTACAGTCTTCTTGCAGAGGCCTCAGGTCCATATGCCTGCAGCAGCGTGGGTAATAGCTTTACCTGTGCATTCCTGGGACTTTGGCCACCTGTGCTACTTGGACCAGCAAACAACCCTGTTGCTCCATATGTGCCAGCGGAGCCCAGATCTCTTGTTCATAACTAAACCATCTTTTATAATCATTAGTGATTTTCACTGTGCCTTCTTTCTTTGCATTCTGAAAATTAATCTTCCTACTGTCAAGTAAAAAGATTTTACTCAGGAATGAGTTTTTTAACATTAACTTTTTTTCTCTAAGGTTATTATTCTATGTTAATGTAGTTAAGAGACTTTATCTTTTTTTTTAATAGATATCTTTATTGATTTCAGAGAGAGGGAGGGAGAGGCAGAGAGAGAGATAGAAACATCAATGATGAGAGAGTCATTGATCGGCTGCAGCCCGCAACCAGGGCATGTGCCCTGACTGGGAGTCAAACCCAGATCTCCTGGATCCTAGGTCGATGCTCAACCGCTGAGCTACGCCCGGCCGGGCCAAGAGAATTTATCTTTTCGTTGTACTTTAATTGCTTTTAAGAAATAAATGTGTTTACTATTTATACATAGGTTTTATGATCACGGAAGTATAAGAATTTTAAAGCACATTTCTCAGTTTTTTAAATAAATATAAAAAAATCTATTGATAGGAATTTGGAATCTCAGATTAGAACCAGAAATTTAGATACTGCGACAGTCTAGTGGCATCCTCGTACCTCGGTAGGTTGATAGTTACAGATGCAACTCTGATACAGGAGATTAGTCTTCTGTAAACCCTGGTAGAGTAAATTCTGTTAGTGTTATGTGAGCAATCTAGGAATATCTCCTCTGCATTTCATAAGGAAATGTGAAAGGTGTTACACTTTCTCTCCAAAGTTAGTCTCATCTATTTAGAAAGTTCTCATTAAAGATATTTTGATTCTAGATTTTTGTTGCTTTTCTCATGTTTGTATTTCATTTTGCTAAAAAATCGGTTTTTTCAATGTGCATCTGATTTTTTTCCCTATTTACTAAAATGTCATAATTAGGAATATCATTATGTGAATCATTTTATCATTATAGGTATTCATCAAAGTAATAGACACAAATGACCATCGTCCTCAGTTTTCTACATCGAAATACGAAGTTGTTATTCCTGAAGACACAGTGCCCGAAACAGAAATTTTGCAGATCAGTGCCGTGGATAAAGATGAGAAAAACAAACTCATCTACACCCTGCAGAGCAGTGTCGATCCGTTGAGTCTCAAGAAGTTTCGTCTGGACCCTGCCACAGGCTCTCTCTATACCTCTGAGACTCTGGATCACGAAGCCGTCCACCAGCACGTCCTCACCGTCATGGTAGGCGTCCTGCCCCTGCCCTGCCACCCTGAGCTCCCGGAGGCTTTCGCTGGAGACTGGCTGTCAGTTAGGAAAACCCCCGCAGGATTGATAATGTGTCGATTCTTTCAGGTACGAGATCAAGACGTCCCTGTGAAGCGCAACTTTGCCAGGGTCCTGGTGAATGTCAGCGACACGAACGACCACGCCCCCTGGTTCACGAGCTCCTCCTACGAAGGGCGGGTCTACGAATCGGCCGCCGTGGGCTCCGCGGTGCTGCAGGTCACGGCGCTGGACAGGGACCGAGGGCCCAATGCCGAGGTGCTGTACTCCATCGAGTCAGGTACCTGTGAGCGCTCCGCACCTTTATAACGCGGCACTTGTTCAAAAGCACGTTTCTTCGTTTCTAAAATTAGTTCTGACGTTAAAGCTTTTCTGTGTATCATTGTAAAAATTACTTGAATTGACCTTACATGTTAGGAGAAAGAAAGAAAAATTTTAAGTTTTAACTCTTCGGAAAGCTAGGCTAGAGAGTCCTAACTAAGTTTGGGTCAGGCTCTTGGAAACTCAAAATATTGGCGTAATTCATGGCCGAGCAGTCCTGCCGTAAAGAAAACTTGATTTGACCACTTCAGCATTTCTAAACTTGTTAACCACACAGTCATTTTCCTTCTTAACCTAGGAAACGCTCTTAGGAAAGTGCTGGCCTGTTAGTATGATGCTTTGCTTCTCCTCGGGGTGCTTTCTCCTGGGCAGAGCAGGACATTCCAGCCAGATCTCAGAGGGTGTCGGGCCTCTGCTCCTCCCAGGTTTGGTGTTGCCGCCTGTCACCCCCATGCAGCCTGAACTGTGTGTTTCATTCATGGGTCGTTGCAGTAGGTCCTGGGGATGGGATTTGGACTTAGACATGTTGAAAAGCTGAAGGGGCCAAAGCTGGGCAAGAGGCAGCCGGGGCAGGGAGCCAGCTGGAAGTGTGGACAGTGCTTCTCGGGGCGATGAGGCAGGAGATCAGAGTCCTGCTGGGGGTTACAGGAAGGAAGATCACCAGGAAGCACCGTGGCAAAGCAAAATGTTTTTGTTCTCTGTTCCGTCTCATGCCGCTACTCAGCCATTCGTTAGTCCGTCCCATGGGCTCATTTAGCTCATCTTACGTGCTAGGTGCCGCGCAAGACGCATCCATACTTGAACTTGATAGGTGTGGGGGTTACCATTGGTCCACACAGGTATGTTCTTGCAAAAGAAATCTGCCCTTGCTTGAGACAGGGGTCAGTGTGCCGTAGAGCATATTATTTGTGCAGTCAGAAATGGCCTTGCTTTGCAACTTGCCCTACTCATGCCAACTAGTACGAGTAAGTGATTCCGTATCGAGAAGGCAGCTTTCATTTTTCTGTCTTTCTCAGGGTTATGGTTAGTACAATGTCTCTCTCGCTGTCCTGCCTTTATAATGATCTTAGAGTATTGAGGTCATCCACTTACTTGACTTTGTTTTTAAGTCCCCATCTCTACATATTTAGAAATTGTATCTATCTGAGATGTTAGAATTGGAAGAGGTATAAATTAGCTATAGATCATATACTCAAAAGCCAAGCAAATGGAGAGTAATTTTTCTTTTAAACAGCATTTTCCCAAATGCTGTTTAAAGTGTTTCCAATGCTGATTCTTTTTTAAACATATTTTTTATTGATTTGAGAGAGAGTGGAAGGGAGAGGGAGAGAGAAAAGCATTGATGACGGAGACATCAATTGGCTGCCTCCTGCATGCCCCTACTGGGGATTGAGCCCACAACCCGGGCATGTGCCCTCAGCGGGCATTGAACCGTGACTTTTTGGTTCATGGCTCAGCCCCTGAGCCACACCGGCCAGGCTGGGGAGTAATTTTTTTAAAACAACTTAGTTGATGTGTTTTATATGGTCAGACTATTTTTATTTCTTAATATATTTGAAGTTTCATTTATTTCACTGAAAATACCCAAATTTAGTCCATTACACACTGCCCATGGTTGCAGTATTCAAATGTGTTTTTGTGTAGTTAGTGCCTTGCCTAAAGTTAAAGGTTTTCCCACTGGCTCAGAAATTTGGCCATTAAAAACACAGCACATTCCATCTGTGCATGCCTGGGCCTTTCAATAAAATCATTTCCCCACAGACAAACTGGCTGGGCTTGTGTAGGAGAAAATGCTAAACTTTCCCTTAGCTTTCACATAATTTTCAACAACTGGGTGGTTAAAATGTGATTGTTGGTGCCTGACTGAGGGCATGTGCATTCTTTAAATGCTTGTAACAAGGGACGGAATTAGTAATTGGTATTCCAAGAATGGAACTGTATCTCCACTCAGAGAATAGATAATATCAAGGGCCTATTCCGGCATAGAACTTGGACTTTTACGAAGATATAGTTCTTTTAGATTTGGTAATAGAAAAGTAGTGCTAAACGGTTACTTTACAGGAAACGACTCCCTTTAAATGCTGTAGAATTGTGTGTGTGAATCTGTTAGAAGAGCAGGGACTATAAAATGGTCATGCCACCTTTTCATTTACAGTTTATTCATAATCACCTGCTTCTAATTTCTGTCCAATTACTTTTAGAAAGTTCAAAAGACTAGTTATAGATTCAGACCATAACACTGCATGTTTAATTAGCAGCCATTTATTGAGCAAAAGGTTGGGTCTGATTAGGAGTCTTTAGAGGAAAAGGAATTAATGAAAGGGTATTTTCAGTAACAATTGAGTTATATGCTTGGAGACATATGAACACCATACTCTAGGCAGGATGGTGGTGTCTTTATTTTCTTAAAGTAGATTGTCATAACTTCAAAACTGTTGTAACTCTTAGAAATCAAAGACACTCAGTAAATATGCTTATTGACCAGAATTGGTTTTCTTCCCCAAACTTAGGTTAAATATTATTGCACTTGAAGCTTTAGAGAGGTGCTGTACTGGCAGGCGGTCAGCATCCACAGCATGTCCACTGTGGGAAAACACAGACTCCTGTGCACAGCTCTCTGACATGCCCTGTGCCTGTGTGTCATACAGTCATAGCTAATGAGCACACGTGTGCAAGTTTGTTCCAACAGGGAGGACAGTTTAAGGCTATTTAGAAATCACCAGTATCTCCAGCTAAGGCCCCCAACCAAGTACAGACTTCAGAATTTGTTCACAAATGCCATACGTGTGTTTCACTATTTGGTGAGCGTGCCTATGACTAGATCTGATGGACATGTTCAAGCTACTCAGCAGCCTTCAGTGTTTTTCCACATAAACACCATGTTGCTCTCTCATCTGCAAATCTGGTGCTTTCTGCCTTGGTTTATGTATATGTGGGATCCATGTATTAATTGAACAGCCAGGTTCCTGTTTACCTTCTTGTTATCAGTGCCNAGCCTTCAGTGTTTTTCCACATAAACACCATGTTGCTCTCTCATCTGCAAATCTGGTGCTTTCTGCCTTGGTTTATGTATATGTGGGATCCATATATTAATTGAACAGCCAGGTTCCTGTTTACCTCCTTGTTATCAGTGCGAGGACCGGAGCTGTCTTTATCAAAGTCAGGCTACTGAAGAATGTGATGCCCTGCGTATTTGAAGCACTAAGATTTCACTGTCCAAGACAAGAGAGAAATGCACATAAATGAATGAATATAAAATCTGGTAGGTCAGCGGCTTCTTTAGGACAGACAGGGAAGTCCAGGAGCTGGGGATGAAGGTAGCTGTCCAAAGGTTTTCAGAGTCTCCTCCGTGATCCAGGCAGCCAGTCCCAGTTTGGGAAGGTGGAATGATGCATGGGTAGGATGAGATAGGACCTTGATGACTGACTGAGACACAGAGCGAATCTGGGATTGTTGACTGAGATACAGGCAAGCCAGAGACGGTGTCTGCAAGGCCTGGCGGAGGCAGCGTGACCCAGTTCATGGGCCAGGGTTCAGCTTAGAGCTTTGGAGCCGGGAGAGAGCCTGGGCCTCTGCCCCGTTGCAGACTGAGGCGTGGCCATGGGGTCTGGACGCCGAGCCAGGCAGGCTTAATGAAAACCAGGCTGGGTCTAGCCACAGAAAAAATTATCATGGATTTTTTGGAAGATGTATTAAAGGAAGGAAATGAAGGCTGTAGAGGAAGCGTTTACCAGTAATGATGTGGAGAGAGGAGTGCTTGGTGGTTAATCCCCTGGTTTGTAAATCACACTAAGTAATGCTGTTCTACGAAGTGCTACACTCTACTGCAAACCTGGAGCAAAGCAGTTTGAGAAAGCAGTTTGGCCTTGTTTGGGGTAAATGTAATAGTTCATTCACGAAAAATAAATTCAGTTGTACGTCTTGGATAATGGATCTGGACTCTTGTTTATAAAACAGAAAAGAAGGAAGGGTTCTTGGGCGGGTCGTACCCTCTCACTGCCTTAATCTGTTCCAAAAGGTAGGTAGTTAACTGCTAAACTCTCGTCAACTGCTGGTTTTCGTCAGGAGGATTTCAATCGATGATGCACAACAATGGAATACTGCAGAGTTGCAATTGCAGCTCAATACATGCGTGTCATACAGGTGGAAAAGGTCCAGTGAAAAGCAAGTAAAACAATCTGTGCTAGAGGAGGGTTTCCGAGCCTCAGCACCACTGACTTTTTGAACCACAAATTTTTGTGGGGGGGCCCGTCCTGGGTATTGTAGGAAGTTCAGCAGCATCCCTGGCCTCTACCCACGGGATGCTAGTAGCACCCTCTCCCCCAGGTAGGGACAACCAAAAATGTCTCCAGACATTGTTAAATGTCCCCTTCCAGGCAGGGTCACCCCCACTTGACAGCCACTGACCTAGGGGATACACTGACCTAAAGAAGATTCAGAACAGAATGTTACTGAAATCTTCAAAACCTGTGGAGTGGGGCAGGTTATATACAAGCTTATTATCAATTCCCTGAATATTTAAAATAAGGGGCAATTCTCTTAAAGTTTATTCAATTTTCTTTATGAATTGAAGTCTTCCCTTTTATAAGTAAAAAGAATCTTGAGTATTTTCAAGTGATAAGTGCTGAAAATATAAATACGTTCGAGTGGGTTTTTGAGGACTCTTGGAAAATTGTGGACTCAACTACTTTATGGAAGGGTAACCATATCCTTCCATAGCACATCCCTGGTTCAGGCAAAAGAGTGCATTTGGTGTTCAGTACAGAGTGATATTTCTTCTGTTTCTTGTTTTTCATTATTTATGGACAAAACTCTGAAAAGTCTGCCTTTTTTACGTGGATAAAAATGAAACAAGTTAAAAAATGAAACAAGTTCCATTCACATATTGGTAATCCCTGAATTTCTGTTTAATTTCAGAATACGATTTTTAAAGTTATCTTCATTCGCTTCGGTATTTCCAAATACTACTTCTGTTGATCCCTGTGGTTTTCTCTAACATGTTTTTTTTCTTCCCCTTCCTAGGAAATATTGGAAATTCTTTTACAATTGATCCCATCTTGGGCTCTATCAAAACTGCCAAAGAACTGGATCGCAGTAACCAAGTGGAATACGACCTCATGGTAAAAGCCACAGATAAAGGCAGCCCGCCCTTGAGTGAGATCACCTCTGTGCATATCTTTGTCACAATCGCTGACAACGCCTCTCCTCGGTTTACATCTAAAGAATATTCTGTCGAAATTAGTGAAACCATCAGCATTGGGAGTTTTGTCGGAATGGTTACAGCCCATAGTCAGTCATCGGTGGTCTATGAGATCAAAGATGGAAACATAGCTGATGCTTTTGACATTAATCCACATTCTGGAAGCATCATCACTCAGAAAGCCCTGGACTTTGAAACTCTGCCCGTTTACACATTGACAATACAGGGAACGAATATGGCCGGCTTGTCTGCGAACACAACGCTTCGAGTGCACCTGCAGGATGAGAATGACAACTGTCCCGTTTTTATGCAGGCAGAACACACAGGACTCATCAGCGAATCCGCTTCCGTCAACAGCGTGGTCCTGACGGACAAGAACGTCCCGTTAGTGATTCGGGCCACGGATGCTGATAAAGAGTCGAACGCCTTGCTTGTGTACCACATTGTTGAACCAACTATACACAAATATTTTGCTATTGATTCTAGCACTGGTGCTATTCATACAGTACTCAGTTTGGACTATGAGGAAACAAGTACCTTTCACTTTACTGTGCAAGTGCATGACATGGGAACACCACGGTTATTTGCCGAATACGCGGCTAATGTGACCATACACGTAATTGACATTAATGACTGCCCGCCTGTGTTCTCCAAGTCTCTGTATGAAGCATCTCTCTTGTTGCCAACGTACAAAGGAGTAAAAGTCATCACGGTGAACGCGACAGATGCCGACTCACGCGCCTTCTCGCAGTTGATGTACTCCATCACGGAGGGCAACATCGGGGAAAAGTTCTCCATGGACCACAGGACCGGCTCCGTCACGGTGCAGAACACCACTCAGCTGCGAAGCCGCTACGAGCTAACCGTTCGAGCTTCTGACGGCAGGTTCGCGAGCTTCTCCTCTGTGAAGATCAACGTGAAAGAGAGCAAAGAAAGTCAGCTGAAGTTCACCCAAGATTTCTACTCTGCAGTCGTGAAAGAGAATTCCACTGAGGCCAGAACCTTGGCCGTCATCACTGCTATTGGGAATCCGATCAACGAGCCTCTGTTCTATCACATCCTCAACCCAGATCGCAGGTTTAAAATAAGCCGCACCTCGGGCGTTCTGTCCACCACCGGCGTCCCGTTCGATCGGGAGCAGCAGGAGGCGTTTGATGTGGTCGTCGAGGTGACACAGGAACATAAGCCTGCAGCAGTGGCCCACGTGGTGGTGAAGGTCACCGTCGAAGACCAAAATGACAACGCGCCAGTGTTTGTCAACCTCCCTTACTATGCCGTTGTTAAGGTGGACGCCGCGGTGGGCCACACCATTCGCTACGTTACTGCCGTGGACAGAGACAGTGGCAGAAACGGGGAGGTGCACTACTACCTGAAGGAACATCACGAGCACTTTCAGATCGGGCCCTCAGGCGAAATTTCACTGAAAAAGCAATTCGAACCCGACACCTTGAATAAACAGTATCTCGTCACGGTGGTGGCAAAAGATGGAGGAAACCCAGCCTTTTCGGCTGAAGTTATCGTTCCAATCACTGTGATGAATAAAGCAATGCCCGTGTTCGAAAAGCCTTTCTACAGCGCCGAGATCCCGGAGAACATCCAGGTGCACAGCCCCGTTGTCCACGTGCAGGCCAGCAGCCCGGAGGGCTTGAAAGTGCTCTACAGCATCACTGACGGCGACCCTTTCAGCCAGTTCACCATTAACTTCAACACCGGCGTGGTCAACGTCATAGCTCCCCTGGACTTTGAGTCCCACCCAGCATATAAACTGAGCATCCGAGCCACTGACTCCTTGACTGGGGCCCACGCTGAAGTGTTTGTTGACATAGTAGTGGAGGACATCAATGACAACCCCCCCGTGTTTGCTCGGCCGTCGTATTCTGCCACGCTGTCCGAGGCTTCTGTCATCGGAACGTCTGTGGTTCAGGTTAGGGCGACAGATTCTGACTCAGAACCCAACAGGGGGATTTCTTACCATATGTTTGGGAATCATAGCAAGAGTCACGACCATTTTCACATTGATAGCAGCACTGGTCTCATTTCACTAGTCAGAACCTTGGATTATGAGCAGTTCCAGCAGCACAAGATTTCCGTGAGGGCTGTCGATGGTGGCATGCCTCCACTGAGCAGTGATGTGATTGTCACAGTGGACGTCACGGACCTCAACGATAACCCGCCACTCTTTGACCAGCAGATTTATGAGGCCAAGATTAGCGAGCATGCCGCCCACGGGCATTTTGTGACCTGTGTGAAAGCCTATGATGCGGACAGTTCAGACATAGACAAGTTGGAATATTCCATTCTGTCTGGAAACGATCATAAGAATTTTGTCATTGACAGTGAAACGGGGATTATCACACTCTCAAACCTCCGCCGACACACCTTGAAGCCATTTTACAGTCTCAACATTTCTGTTTCGGATGGAGTGTTTAGAAGTTCAGCTCAGGTTCATGTAACTGTAATTGGAGGCAATTTGCACAGCCCTGTTTTCCTTCAGAATGAGTACGAGGTGGAGCTGGCTGAAAACGCTCCCGTACACACCCTGGTGATCGAGGTCAAGGCAACCGACGGGGATGCCGGTATTTACGGCCACATTACTTACCATATTGTAAATGACTTTGCTAAAGACAGGTTTTACACAAATGAGAGGGGACAGGTATTTACTTTGGAAAAACTTGATCGAGAAATCCCAGCGGAGAAAGTAATCGCAGTCCGTTTAATGGCAAAGGATGCTGGAGGAAAAGTTGCTTTCTGCACCATTAATGTCATCCTCACCGATGACAATGACAACGCACCCCAGTTTCGAGCAACCGGGTATGAAGTCAACATCGGATCCAATGCTCCCAAAGGGACATCCGTCATCAAAGTCCTTGCAAGTGACGCCGACGAGGGATCCAACGCAGATGTTACCTACGCCATGGAAGCAGATTCTGAGAGTGTTAAAGAGAATTTGGAAATTAACAAACTGTCTGGCATCATCACTACAAAGGAAAGCTTAATCGGCTTAGAAAACGAGTTCTTCGCTTTCTTTGTGAGAGCTGTGGATAACGGGTCTCCCCCAAAGGAGTCTGTGGTACCCGTCTATGTTAAAATACTCCCACCTGAAACGCAGCTTCCCAAATTCTCAGAACCGTTTTACACTTACACAGTGTCAGAAGACATGCCCATTGGCACGGAGATCGATCTCATCCGAGCAGAACACAGTGGGACTGTCCTCTACAGCCTGGTCAAAGGGAATACTCCTGAAAGCAACAGGGATGAGTTCTTTGTGATCGACAGACAGAGCGGGAGGCTGAAGCTGGAGAAGGGTCTTGATCACGAGACGACAAAGTGGTACCAGTTTTCCATACTCGCCAGGAGCACTCACGATGACCAGGAGGTGGTGGCTTCTGTGGATGTTAGCATCCAAGTGAAAGATGCAAATGATAACAGCCCTGTCTTGGAGTCCAACCCATACGAGGCATTTATTGTTGAAAACCAGCCCGGGGGCAGTAGAGTCATCCAGATCAGGGCGTCCGATCTGGACTCGGGGACCAACGGCCAAGTTATGTATAGTCTAGATCAGTCCCAGAGTGTGGAAGTCATCGAGTCTTTTGCCATTAACATGGAGACAGGCTGGATTACAACCCTAAAGGAGCTTGACCATGAAAAGAGAGACAATTACCAGATTAAAGTGGTGGCATCAGATCACGGGGAAAAGGTCCAGCTCTCCTCCACAGCCATCGTGGACGTTACCGTCACCGACGTCAACGACAGTCCCCCGCGATTCACTGCGGAGATTTATAAGGGGACTGTGAGTGAAGATGACCCACCAGGCGGTGTCATTGCCATTTTGAGTACTACAGATGCTGATTCTGAAGAAATTAACAGACAAGTTAGCTATTACATAACAGGTAAAAAAATTTCAACCGAACGGCTTAATTTAAAACTAAGTATATGAGAAGTATAAATCCTGAGATATATATTGTATGGAACTCGGAAGGTGAAGGGGAAGATTTTAGTTAAGTATATAGAAAATAGGGAGAAATAGCATCAGCTAAGCTACATTTTAAGTTCTTGGCCTGAGCAAAGGAAACGGTTGTTTCATTAGACTGTTTTCTATTTTTATGACTCTTTCTGTTGAACTTTATGTTTAGTGCATAATAAATATATTGTAATTATAAAGAAGAACTATAGTTTCAGTGTAGGCTAAAGTGTTATTTAGCAGTCCTTATATTTTATTTGGCTTACGGCTGTATTTAAATACAAATTTTAATGGGAGAGCTAATATACCAAATTTAAAAGTATTTATTTTTTAAAAACTTTTTTTTTTAAACCATAACATTATAAATCTATTGTATCATTTATTTCTCCTGTTACTTATTTTTTCCTTTATTTCAACAAGTTTGACTGTCATCTTCTCCATTGATTTAATAGGAGGGGATCCTTTGGGGCAGTTTGCTGTTGAGAATACACAGAATGAATGGAAGGTCTATGTGAAAAACCCTCTAGATAGGGAGAAACGGGACAACTATCTTCTGACGGTCACGGCAACCGATGGGACCTTCTCATCAAAAGCTATAGTTGAAGTGAAAGTTCTTGATGCAAATGACAACAGTCCAGTGTGTGAAAAGGTAGGCCTCGCTTCCTTTACATTTCTGGATTGCAAATTGAGATTTCTTTCTTAACCTTCTGGTAGGACTGTCCTGCGATGCCGTGGTGTCATTAGATGTGTTTCACATTGTGACCTCTTACTGTTTAAGCAGAGGTGAGTGAGAAATGGGACAAGAGATGGATTAGCATCAGAACTGTCTCAGGGAGTGCTGATGGCTTAAAAACATCGTTCAAAAATGCTGTAAGTTACGGACAGGACTACAGTTGTGCTTAACTCTAAAAATGCCCTGTAAAGTTTTGAGAGAGAGATTGATTCCCTTTATTTGGGGATGAGGTGATTTGGGAGGAAGTGCCTGGCCGGCAGTTCTTTATACAGAGCTCAGTTTTGCTTTCACAGTTTGGGAGGCACTTGTTCTTAACACATGAAACTACGAGGTTCACAGTGCGGCTCCTGTAACCCTGGAGCCACCATTTCACATGAGATCAGACACGCCAGAGCAGAGCTGCCCGGGGACGTGCAGCCTGGGGACCTGAGCAGGAGTGAGCACTGTCTCTGAGGACGGGAACACTCTCCTTTGGGAGATGCTGGTTGGGGTAACTGGGTGGACGAGGAAGGGGGCCTGAGGATCAACTGGGTGAGAGGCTGCGAAGGTCCTTCCGGGGAAGTGGGCCTCTGTCCTAGAGCAGATGGGGACTCTGAATCCTGTTCTCTTTAAAACGTGGAGAGGACATGAACCAGGAGGTCCTTAAGGAAGGCGAGTTTGGTAGAATTGTGTCCATCTGGGGAGCAACAGTGACAGCAGGAGGATAGTGGGGAGTAAGGAGAGGTGGCCAAGGAAGGAAAGGACAGAGATTCTGGGAGCATCTGGCCCTGCCTGGAGGTGACGGCCTGGCTAGCATGTCATGTCAAGACTGACTTTAATGCTTTCTGCAGGAGTGAGGGAGAGAGACCAGAGATAAGCCTGGAGGGGAGTTGCTTTTCGAGGAAGCGTGTTGGGTCCCACTTCCAATTTGTTCCATTTAAGGTCATGGGACATTGAGCTGAATGTTTTTTTAGACGTCTAAGAAATGGCGAGATTGAGGGTGGCTATCAGGGAAGGATGTGTGAATTTGACAATTTCTGTGGATAACTGATTATTGAATTCATTTGAGAGGGTAGGAGCCAGAAGGGGAAAGAGCAGAAAGGTCTTTCCCGAGGGAGAGGGGAGGGAGGAGGCAGAGACGGAGGGAAGAGAACTCGGGGTCAGGGTGGCTGTCGGGGTGGGTGGCTGTCGGGGTGGGTGGCTGTCAGGGTCAGGGTGGCTGTCGGGGTGGGTGGCTGAGAGCGGAGGAGGAGTTTCGAGGAGGCAGGTGGCGAGCAGGATGTGACTGAGACCGAAGGCGGAGCATTTGGATGGTGCCTGGCTCCGAGATGGCGGTCTCCGTGTGGTGATGCGGGTGGACGCGTGATGGCTCCAGGTGAAACTGCGCTGGTGGTGGTATTTTCTGTGTTATAGAAACTAAACGTGTGTTTTTCAACACTTTAATATTTTTTCAATGTAGTACCCTGTCAACTTTGGGAATAGTAAAATTGGGACACTAGATCATTTGACATCGTCAGTATTGTAAACTATTTCGTTTCATGAGTCATAAAATGTAGTTCACTTAAAATTGAGTTCAGATTAAGAAAATAAATTCAACAAAATCTTACCTGTCTTACGTTTTGGTTTATGGCATGGATTTCTAAATAGTTGGAATGGGAAGCAACCCTTCATTGGAGAGTCCGGTTGGGTATGAAGAGAGAGGCTAGAGCAGGTGAGGGAAGGGCCCTGGCCTGAGCATCATTCCCGCCACGTGGCCTTGGGAAATCTTTGTTTTCTCCCAGGACTGGAAGTTCTTTTCTTTCTCAACGGTGTTCATTTGGATATGTGTTAAGAACTATTGCAAACGACACATTTCTGTATTGGAAATCAATAGATCTGATGTAACGGATCTATTTTCTCCCAATCTTTAGGTAAATATGGAGTAGCACTACTTATATTTTTCCATAGGAATTTAAAGTAAATATGAACCCAAGTCAGAGATATAAATTACTGTGTTTAGAACCTGTCGGTTAAATGTCCAGTCAGACTCTTTCAGCAGCATGGAGTTGTTAACTGTTCCCTGGCTCCTTGTTTTATAAGAAAAACAGTTTTGAAAGCTCCTTGGATTTTAACGTTAGTCGTTACCTGTGTTTTCTGTGGCCAAAGTTAAATGATTTATTCCCTTGGCAGTCATGTTGGCTTTCAGTGTTTTATGTTAACAATGTTGTTTTAAATCTTCGTAGACTTTATATTCAGACACAATTCCAGAAGATGCTTTCCCCGGGAAGCTGATCCTGCAGGTCTCCGCCACGGACGCAGATATCCGTTCCAACGCTGAGATCACATACTCACTATCTGGTCCAGGTGCAGAGAAATTCAAACTGAATCCAGACACAGGTAATCACGGAGTTCGGGGCCAAGTTAATTGTGTTCCAACAAAATTGTATACGTGGGTAGTTTTAGATCACTCTCAGAATTTGAAATTACATTTTGTTCTTGTCAGATGTACTCAGATGCTATAAAATGATCATCTTTTAGAAATCTCAAAGCAATTTGATGTACAAAATTTGGGGTAAGATAATAAAATCACCAACCAAGGATTTAAAATAGTTTATATCACCTTTTAAAAAAAACAGAACTCAGAAGTTAAAGTATACTTCTCACTTTTGCTCTGTTCATTTTATTATAGCTTGTTTTCACGAATTTGTGATCATAAATTATTATGAGCATGTTCATTAAAATAACTCATGGTATGTTACCCATCTTTAAATTGCTAGGCTTGTTTTCCAGTTATAATTTGTCTTTCGTTAAAATTGGGGTCAAGTAATAGTTTTCTATTAAGCTCTTCCCCACCAAAGAACTAATTATGAACATCTGAATCTAATATTGAGTTATTTAAAAAAATTTAAATCAGACAAATCAGGTAGCTATTTTGCTTTCGTGACATTATATATAACGCAGGAGGCTCTAGCCTCGGGATCTCTGGGACCTGGCAGGGCTTAGAAACCTGGAACTTGCTGTACTCACAGCTGCTGACCCTTTAATTGATAAAACTGCTCTCCAGTGGAAGGCTGTTGCTCAGATTTTGCAATTGTAAGCGAAAAGGGGAAGACTTAAGACTTGGTATTGCAGTTCACATCCTAAATTTCAGGTGAGTCCTTTTATTTTTGTTTGTTTCTAGGTGAACTGAAAACATTAGCCCCCCTTGATCGCGAGGAGCAAGCGGTTTACAATCTTCTAGTCAAGGCCATAGACGGAGGGGGAAGATTCTGTCAGGCTAACGTTGTGCTCACATTAGAAGATGTGAATGATAACGCCCCCGAATTCTCTGCTGACCCTCACACCATTACCGTGTTCGAGAACACGGAGCCAGGGACGCTGTTGACCAGAGTGCAGGCCACAGATGCGGATGCAGGTACCACCTGGGCGGCACTTCAGACTGTGTTCTCAGATCCTAGGAACCTCCTTTGCAAAACACCTCCCAGATTTGGACTGTTGAATTATTTTACCCCATGCATGTCGAATAACTCATCATTGTTGTGTTATTTCATTCCTTAGCATTAAAAATGAAAAATGAAATACTTAGAATAATGAATTCACTTTTAAAATGAGTATTTGAAGCCTCTGAATTGTGCCCACTAAACTTGCTATTATAAGGTATCGGGTGTCCCTAAAATTCTGCTCAGTGACTTTATTAACGGAACTTCATTTCCCATTGAGTTAATGAAGTATTATTTTGTGACTAAGCCGTTAGTGACATTAAGATATTTTAGTATCGTAGGAACATAACAGTAGCCAATGCTGTATTGCTACAGTTCTACAGACCTTTCAAATTCTTGTGGAGAAATAAAAGTGTAGGATGTCCATAGCATTTTGATAAGAGTAAAAATAACTTCAGTCACACTGATACGGAAGAATTCGAAGACTGGCAGAAATGCTACTTTTCAAATAAATCTTTGTCACTGTAGATAAATAATAAATAGACTTTAAAAGATCACCAGGGGCCCTGGCCAAGTGGCTCAGTTGATTGGAGCGTTGTCCCTACACCAGAAAGGTTGCGGGTTCCATTCCTTTCAGGACAAATACCTAGGCTTTGGATTCAGTCCCCAATTAGGGTGCACGCGGGAGGCAACCGATCCATGTTTCTCTCTCACATCCATATTTCTCTCTCTTTCTCTCTCTCTCTCTTTAANTCTGAATTGTGCCCACTAAACTTGCTATTATAAGGTATCGGGTGTCCCTAAAATTCTGCTCAGTGACTTTATTAACGGAACTTCATTTCCCATTGAGTTAATGAAGTATTATTTTGTGACTAAGCCGTTAGTGACATTAAGATATTTTAGTATCGTAGGAACATAACAGTAGCCAATGCTGTATTGCTACAGTTCTACAGACCTTTCAAATTCTTGTGGAGAAATAAAAGTGTAGGATGTCCATAGCATTTTGATAAGAGTAAAAATAACTTCAGTCACACTGATACGGAAGAATTCGAAGACTGGCAGAAATGCTACTTTTCAAATAAATCTTTGTCACTGTAGATAAATAATAAATAGACTTTAAAAGATCACCAGGGGCCCTGGCCAAGTGGCTCAGTTGATTGGAGCGTTGTCCCTACACCAGAAAGGTTGCGGGTTCCATTCCTTTCAGGACAAATACCTAGGCTTTGGATTCAGTCCCCAATTAGGGTGCACGCGGGAGGCAACCGATCCATGTTTCTCTCTCACATCCATATTTCTCTTTCTTTCTCTCTCTCTCTCTTTAAAAAATAAAATCAATAGACATATCCTCAGGTGAAGATTAAAAAAAAAAAAAGATCTACTGAGTATTATAGCGTAAGTTCGTATAAAACATAGTGTTTAAAAGCTGGATAACTTTGAAATATACGTACTTGAACTCAGTAAATTGTTAATCTAAAAGTTTACTTATTTAAGATCATAATCATAAGGATTTTTAAAATGTGTTTCAGCATTTTTCCTTTTAATTTATATTTCCAGAAATATAATTTAAATTCTTTGAAATAAAACATCTGACATCATGCCATCTCTTGACAGGACTGAACCGGAAGGTAGCCTACTCTCTGGTTAACTCCGCCGACGGGCAGTTCTCCATTCATGAGTTCTCCGGGATCATTCAGTTGGAGAAGCCTCTGGATAGAGAGCTGCAGGCGGTGTACACCCTCACTGTGAGAGCCGTGGACCAGGGTTTGCCAAGGAGGCTGACAGCGACTGGCACTGTGGTTGTGTCAGTTCTGGATATAAATGACAACCCACCCGTGTTTGAGTACCGGGAGTACGGTGCCTCGGTGTCTGAGGACATTGTGATTGGGACAGAAGTCCTTCAGGTGTATGCAGCCAGTCGGGACATTGAAGCAAACGCAGAGATCACCTACTCGATAATCAGTGGGAATGAACATGGGAAATTCAGCATAGATTCTAAAACAGGTAACTTACCACGTAAATCAGAGGATGCCCTTTATGCTGCAAAAAAGTATAGATTGCCCGGCACTCGTCCTGATACAAAGGGACTGGTCATAAATTGTTAGTAGATAATTCTAACAAGATAATCAAATTGGTAATCTTTGAATTGGATGAAAAAGATAAAATTCACTCTTTGTATTGTTATTTTGAATGGGGTTTTTAAAGTGGTTTCGAAGACTTTATAGTTCTACATAATAAAATACAGGGTGTCCCAAAAAAATGTCTACACGCTTGAATAATTATAAAGGCAGTGTTTATTAAAATACGTTTCATTTTTCAGAATGTAATAGAATCAGCTGTTAAAGTGTGTATACTTTTTTGGGAGACACCTTGTACATTTCTGATATATCCATTATAACTATAAGCAAATTAACTTTAAATAGAAAATGAAAGGATCACACTCCAGTGATTTAGTAAAGATGTGAGATGCATTAAGTTAGTGAAGATAAAGACTGGAAGATAGTAGAGTCATCCCCGATGTGGAACTCCTGGGAAGTAACTTCCCAGCGAAACAGCAGTTCCCACCTCTTTGATCTTAGTTTCTATGGGGACATCTGATAATTGTCCCAGTTATGTCCCAGTTGACTTTTTTATTATGCTTGTTACATATAACAGTTGTAGTTCTTCGAATCACACTGGCTGGATGACTGCCAACAAAGTCAGAAGTCATAGGAGCTTAGACTCTTGCTGCATAAATACTTTCCTAGTCTTGTTAACCTGTGGTGTGAATAGCTGTAAGTCTTAGAACATTGTGAAAAGTTGCTCCGTTCGTACGGTATTTAATTCTATGTAATTAGTTCAGGTGAAGAGTAAGTGTGCGAGGATGCTATTTTAAAATTTATTTTTAACACAGCATAAAACTTATTTTGGGGGCTCTAAGTAGTATGGACAGTAAGGGGATGAAAAGGAAAGATGTTAAACAGTTGTTAAAAAGGAATTCTTTTAATGATGAGAAGTAGTTATTCTAGAGACTTTTTTTTTAAAAGGATGCGTATTTCTATAAAAGAAAAGTATGAGAAGGGAAAGGAAACTGGAAGCCAAAGAGAGAATTTTTGTGTTTTTATTTTATTAAATCGGGGTGAAGTCTGATTTAGAAGAGATGAGAAATATAATCATTTTTATAGCAGGGATGTTGATGGTATTGATTGGGGAAGTGATTTAAATATCACAGAGAATATCAGGAAAATAGATATAAGTAAGGATCAGGGATGGGCACATTCATCATTTTTAATTGTTGAATTTTTTAGAAAACATACATAAGTGGTAAGTAAACCTTTGAAGTGAAAGTTAAATTTACTTAAAAGCATCTGTTTCAGTCACGAGAAAGCAGTGGCATTTGTAAAGTGCTGGGAGTAATTTTGATTTTCGGCACAGGGGCCATATTTGTCATTGAGAATCTGGATTATGAAAGCTCACACGAATATTACCTGACTGTGGAAGCCACTGACGGGGGCAGTCCTTCACTAAGTGATGTGGCAACTGTGAACGTCAATGTGACAGACATCAACGACAACACCCCGGTGTTCAGCCAGGACACCTACACGGCAGTGATCAGTGAGGACGCTGTCCTCGAGCAGCCCGTCATCACGGTGCGTGTGTTTGCCTAGTTTTCTCCTCCTAGATCTCTGTAGGAGGTTTTGTGTGTTGTTGTTTGTTTTAATAAGATTGATCCAGCTTTTTTGTCGTGGCCTTACTTGAAAATATTTAGAAGGTGTGGCAATGTCTTTTGTTAGGCTAGTTACTGACTCTATTATAAATAATTGCCTTACGACAACTAGCTGTTGATACCAGAAATTCGCTTCAAGACTTCTGTCCCTTCCTTCACTGCCTCCTAAGCAAGAGTGTCCTACTTTGTAGGTCATGGCTGATGATGCTGATGGACCGTTAAACAGCCACATCCACTATTCAATCATAGATGGCAATCAAGGGAGCCCGTTTACAATCGACCCTGCCAGGGGAGAAGTGAAAGTGACCAAACTTCTAGACCGGGAAACAGTAAGTGAAAAAGTTCGGCTTCAGTTGCTCACCGATTACCAGATCAGTAACCAGCAGTGCCGGGTACTCATACCTGCCGGCGTGGTGGGGAGTGCCGAGAGGGTGCAGCCAGCCTTGTCCTTCGGAACTGACAAGTGAAATACAAGTACTGGAAAAGCAATGACAATAGGAAAATACAGCGAGAGCCCGGCTGGTGTAGCACAGTGGTTGAGTGTCTACCCATGAACCAAGAGATCCTGGGTTCGATTCCCAGGGATGGATGGCACATGCCTGGGTTGTGGACTCGATCCCCAGTAGGGAACGTGCAGGAGGCAGCCAATTGATGTCTGTCTCTCCAATGTTTCTCTCTCTATATATACCTCTCCCTTCCTCTCTCTCTCAAATCAATAAAAACAAGTTTTTTTTAAAAAGAAAATACAGTAAGAATATGAGAGATGTGCTTCATACTTATATGAAGTTTAGATGATAAGAGTTTACAGTCAGGAAGAAATGACTCTTGGCTCCAGTGTTTTGAGGCACTTCATGGAGCCAGAAGCTGGGTTTTAAATAATAGTAGACATTTGGAAAACCACAGGTGCTGAGATAAGGGCTGCAGAACATACTCCGGGATTTCGGCAGCGTTCCGGCTCCTTCCACCTCTCATTCTGGAAGGGAGAGCTTAACAGGGAGCTGTCCTGGAAAAGAAGCTGCCTTATTTCACTCCATTTTTTTTCCTCTTTTTTAATAGGAAGTCATGAAGGGATAATCTCTGGAGTTGTAGACAGTTGACCACAGTCCAAGTGTAAAACTGATGGGAGAGGCTGATGTGGAAAGGCCTGAGGTGTTGAAATCACTAAGCCCTCAGGGAGGGAAACCGCTTAATGTCCGTCTCCTTCTGGCCGGGAGGGACATTAGGGAAGGTTGCCGCCCTTGTTATCACAGCCTTAGAGATACTTTTCTGTCTTAAGAAATAGATCCATACGTTTTTCAAGTTTGAACACTTTACAGAATGAGTGCGTATTGGAGAAGCATCAGAGAATCTAATCACCGTCGGCATCTTTGTTGAGCAAAGACAGTCCCTTTTGCAGCTACATTATTGGCAGCGTACTTGCTGTAGGTTAGGTTAGGGAAACGCCCACGCGAGGACATGGCAGAGGATGACAGGCGTTCAGATCGGCCCTTCTTGGCTGTCAGGAGTACATTCCTGACTAAATCCTGGTCTTCGGCCTTGTGAAAAGGGACATGCCATCTCTCTGTCTTGTCCCCCAAAAGATTTCAGGTTACACGCTCACAGTTCAGGCGTCGGATAATGGCAGTCCACCCAGAGCCAACACGACCACGGTGAACATCGACGTGTCTGACGTCAACGACAACGCTCCGGTCTTCTCCGAGGGAAACTACAGTGTGATCATCCAGGTAATCTCGGGGCCCCGAGGGATCCTTGCACGCAGTCCTTTTGAAATGAGCTCTTTCATTGGCCTCAGTTATTTGCCTGAAATGTCTTTCTTTTCCTAACACTGCATTTTAGAAAAATGAGAGGAGTGAAATTAGAGGGGTCTTCATCAATACTAAAGGAGGAGCATTTTCAAGATGCAACCAAGCGTTTTATCGCCTTATGTGCTTTGGTTTTTAAGATGCGCTCACCAGTCTGATTCTTGACGTTCTGATGTCCCACCACAGTGCCTTCTTCCTTCCAGTCCCCCCTTTTCCCTCCTTCGTTCCCATCATAGCCCCCCCTCCTTTTCTCTCTCTCTCTCCCTTCCAAACAGACCAGCCATAAGGTTTTTCTTTCCATAAATTTCATACTACAGTAAACTTGCATGGGTCTCTTACCCTAAAAGTGTGGTTTTGTTGAGAGCTGTGTGCATTTTTTGTTTTTTACCTGTGCAGGAAAATAAGCCCGTGGGGTTCAGTGTGCTCCAGCTGGTGGTGACAGACAAGGACTCTTCGCATAACGGCCCCCCATTCTTCTTCACCATCGAGAGTGGAAACGACGACAGCGCGTTCGAAGTGAACCAGCAAGGAGTCCTGCTGACGTCCGCGGCCCTGGAGAGGAAAGTGAGAGATCGCTACTCACTGCGTGTGCAGGTATCCATGTCTGTGCTCGTGGTTTGTTGTGGCTTCACGGAGAAGCGCTGCCTTGGTGATCTCGTATGTGAACAGCTTGTATTGCCTGAGAAAACAAAAAGTGTGTAGAGTTGTGGTCTTTTTTTTTGTTCTTTGCCATGCCTTCATTTTTATTCCACGGCACTTTGGAGGCTCGTTGATTCATTTGGTTAGTTCATCGTAGGCATTGATGGAGCTGGACTCCATACGAATTCGTGGAAGGGCTGTAAGGGACCCCATGTCCTTGTCCTTGATATGCTCCTAACGTGGAGAAATAAGTACCTGATAATTGGTCATTTCTAAGATCTTGAACACGTGAATACATTTTTAAGAAGCTGTAAACAATGACGCAGACGGTGGTGACGTTTTTTTTCTTTTCTCCCAGGTGGCTGACAACGGAAAGCCTCAGTTGTCATCTCTGACCTACGTCGACATCATGGTCATTGAAGAGAGCATCTATCCCCCCGCGATCCTGCCCCTGGAGATTTTCATCACTGCTTTCGGGGAGGAGTACGCGGGCGGCGTCATCGGGAAGATTCACGCAACAGACCAGGACGTGTACGACACTTTAACCTACAGCCTCGACCCCCAGATGGACAACCTCTTCTCCGTCTCCAGCGCAGGGGGGAAGCTGATTGCACACAAAAAGCTGGACCTGGGGCAGTACCTGCTCAACGTCAGCGTGACAGATGGGAAATTCACCGCGGCGGCCGACATCACGGTGCACGTCCGGCAAGTGACGCAGGAGATGCTGAACCACAGCATCGCGATCCGCTTCGCCAACCTCACGCCCGAGGAGTTTGTCGGGGACTACTGGCGCAACTTCCAGCGCGCCCTGCGCAACGCCTTGGGCGTGCGGAGGAGCGACATTCAGGTCGTGAGCGTGCAGCCCTCGGAGCCCCACCCCCACCTGGACGTGCTGCTGTTCGTAGAGAAGTCAGGCGGCGCCCAGGTGTCCTCCAGGCAGCTTCTGCACAGGATCAATGCGTCCGTGACTGACATTGAGGAAATCATTGGAGTTAGGGTACTGGACGTGTTCCAGAAGCTCTGCGCAGGGCTCGACTGCCCTCGGAAATTCTGCGATGAAAAGGTGTCCGTGGATGAGAACGTGATGTCCACACACAGCACGGCCAGACTGAGCTTTGTGACCCCCCGCCACCGCAGGACGGCTGTGTGTCTCTGCAAAGGTAACACCCGTAAGGCTATGAAAATAGGTGGTACATGCCCTGGCCACTGTGGTTAGAGCACCAGCCTGTGCACCAAAGGGTCTCAGGTTCAAGTCCTGGGCACGTACCAGGGTTGTGCATTCGATCACCTGGGCCCTGGTTGGGGCACGTGTGGGAGGCAGCCAGTCAGTGTTTCTCACATCTGTGTGTCCCCCCCACCATTCTAGAAATCAGTGGGAAAAATATCCTCGGGTGTGCACACGATTTTATGTACAGTCTTTGAAAGTTACACATTAAAGATCCGTTTGTTTGAAATTCCTATTAATTAGCTCTCTCTCCTCCCCTCTTTTTTTTTTAGAGGGAACATGCCCGATTATCCGTCATGGATGTGAAGACAATCCGTGCCCTGAGGGATCGGAATGTGTCGCTGATCCCAGAGAGGAGAAGCATACCTGTGTCTGTCCCGGTGGCAAGTTTGGTCAGTGCCCAGGTAAGAGTCCAGTGATTAGGCATACTTTTATTTATTTTATTTCTTAATTAATTTTTAAAATATGTCTTTATTGATTTCAGAGAGAGGAAGGGAGAGAGAGACAGAAACATCAATGATGAGAGTCATTGATCGGCTGCCTCCCGCATGCCCCCCTCCTGGGGGATCGAGCCTGCACCCCGGGCATGTGCCCTGACTGGGAATCAAACCACGATCTCCTGGATCCTAGGCCAATGCTCAACCGCTGAGCCACACCCGGCTGGGCCATATTTTGATTTTTAAAAGTTACTTTCAGTGTTTCTAATCATTTTTTCAAATGGAGTTGAAAAGTATTGTAAAATTAAGTCTACTATAACATGTCAATTGTAGAGATGAATAAAGCTTAACTAGTAATTTCCCCTTCCTGTTAAATGATAACTCACCCAAGTGAATAGTTTGAAATGTTTCCTTCTGCTAAAAAGAATCCTTATGTATGTATCCTTATGTATTGGTGCTGGTGCATCCATTTCTGAATCTAGGATTTACTATGTCAAAAACTAACTACATTTTTAATTTTTAAACAAACCATTGTGTCAGTTTCCCAAAAATGTATACCAATTTTTATTTCTCCCAGTCTTGTGTGAAGGTCTCAGTCCCCATTCTCTTGCCAGTATCGAAGATTTTCACTTGAAAAATAAATACCTGTGTAATGGGCATGGAATGATTAATGATTAACTAATTACTTTGCATTCCTCTGGCTACTTGTCAATGTTGTCTTTTCACTTGTTCATGGCCTGTGAACATTTTTTCCTGTGTGAGTGGCTTGGTCATCGGGGTTATTTTGTTTGTCTCTTATTTTCACGTGTGGAGCTGTGTGTGTTACAGTGTTAACATTGTCTGCATTCCACTGTCTGTATAGCGTTGATCTTTTGATTTGTTTAATAGTATCTTTTTTAATTTCTGTGTTGTCAGTTGTACATACATTTTCATCATTTTGTAGAATTCGGATTGTTTTTATATCTTGTTTCAGAAGGTTTCCCAAACCACTTTGAGGATATATAAATGTTTTCCTTAAGTGCCTTGTAGTAATTTTACATTGAATGTTTTTATAATTAGCTTTTTCATAGTTTCAGAATTCATTTCTTTACAATACAGGAGTCTCATCTCTTCTGAATGGAGACCCAGTTATGCTAGGCTGTTTATTAAGCAACTAGACATGTCCCGTTGCATTGCATTTTATCACGTTCTAATCTTAAATAAAGACTTGGGTCAGCCTCTGGGCGGATGAAGTCACACTTTAAAAAATATGCTTATACTTGGTTCTGATTCATTTTTCCCCCTCTGTGATTCGCAGGGAGTTCATCTGTAACATTTTCTGGAAACAGCTTTGTGAAATACCGTCTGAAGGAAAATGAAAACAAGCTGGAGATGAAACTGACCATGAGGCTCAGGACGTACTCTGCTCACGCGGTTGTGATGTATGCGCGAGGAACTGACTACAGCATCTTGGAGGTAGGTTTCTGGACCTCAGGTTACGGAGACTTTAAAAATATTAATTCCACTTTGTGTTCAGATTGTCCCTGTTTGACGAATAATTCAAGTAAGTAAAGTGGTTGAATTCCTCATGTAACTAGTTCACTGATGCCTCCACAGGTTTTCAGCTGTGGGGTGAGGCGGCTCTGTTTGCTATGCAGTAACTTCAGAGAGTTACTTGTTTTTCACAAACATGTTTAGGTACATGTGATAGTTAACATTGAAACTCTAAGCAGTATTACATCTTGTTGATTTTGTACAGAGATCCTGCATAAGCTTGAAGTGATAATTATCTTACCTGCCTTTTTTTTTTTTCCAGCATGATTAACTTTTGACTTTTGATGTTACTCGATGCTATTTTTGGTGGTTGTTCAGTTAGTAGTTAATTATTAGTCACTTCATGATGCTTTTTGGATGTGCAGTTCACACTTGAACTTTATATCCCCAGAGCTCCATTATCATGTGTTCAATGAACAAACAGTCTGTCAATTGCCCCACATACCTCTCCCTCCAATTTCTGATCAGAGACTATAACCAGAGGTTCTGTGGAGTAACATGAAGTGTTGCTGTTTTTGCCGTAGATTCATAACGGAAGACTGCAGTACAAGTTTGACTGTGGGAGTGGCCCTGGCATCGTGTCTGTTCAGAGCATCCAGGTCAACGATGGGCTGTGGCACGCAGTGTCCCTGGAAGTGACCGGCAACTATGCTAGACTGGTCCTGGACCAGGTTCACACTGCGTCAGGCACCGCCCCGGGGACTCTGAAAACCCTGAACCTGGATAACCACGTGTTTTTTGGTGGCCACATCCGTCAGCAAGGCACGAGGCATGGGAGAAGCCCCCAAGTTGGGAATGGATTCAGGGGCTGTATGGACTCCATTTATTTGAATGGGCAGGAGCTCCCCTTAAATAACAAGCCCAGAAGCTATGCCCTCATTGAGGAGTCGGTGGACGTGTCTCCCGGATGCTTACTCACAGCTACAGAAGACTGCTCCAGTAACCCCTGCCAGAACGGGGGCCTGTGCAACCCATCACCCGCGGGAGGTAGGCTGCGTAACGTCGCTGGTTTCTAACGTTACACGTGTGCGCTTAGGGGACGCCCTGCGCGTGTTTCTGTTGTTTCTCTCTATTCAGGTCATCGTCAGACATTCATCAGTGTTGGAAGCGGGCTGTATGTGTTACGAATAGGGGAGCAGAGCAGCCTGGCTGACGGGAGCTGCCTGCCTGCTGAGCTCCTGCAGCCACGTCTCATTCCGCATCAGGGACCGTGGGCAAACCACAGCTCCTTCTGACCTCTCCTTCCAAACACAGACACTGACCCAGCGGGGTTTAGAATTGGCACCATTTAGTTCTTCTTGCGTGCCCCCTTTATCTGCTGACCCACTAGCTATAGATGGGGTGCCAGAGGCCTTAGACCCCTCCTGAAGTGCTGCCATCCCTGTCTTGAAGCCCTAGCACAGTGGAGGATTCTGGCTTCTGCATCCTGGACCCGTATGTCCACTTATCAGTAACAGAACACGGTTATGAAAATGACAGTTGTCTTGCCCAGTAAATAGAGCTTTGTGTAATGAACAGAAGTCAGAGCAACCCTTTCATTAAGTGAGATTTCAAAAGACTTGGTTTTCTCCTTTTTTCTTTGGAACGTGTCTATGCATACTAGATGCAGAGCAGGCCAGGTTATCCCCACGGTAATACTCGGAACAAAGGTTTATAGTGTACTCCTGTCACAAGCACAAGGAGGCTGTCCTCACTGTGTCATCAGGGCTGGGACCAAGAGTCGAATTTTCTTGAGACCGCTGTAGCAGCAGGCAGAAGGGAACACAGGTACCACACACAGTGGCTCCTAAAGCTCTGACCGAGCCCAAAGTGCCACACTTCTGTGGCCAGAGAAAATCCCATGGCCATGACCAGCTCCAGAGGTGGCGGTGGGGACGTGCAGCCCTGCGTCTTCCCCAAAGACCAGTCGTTGGAAACCGTCTCCACCATACCTAACTGTCAGTCTGCACAGAATGAAGAATCTGACATTGTTTTTGCTCCTTTACACAAATTCGCAGATCACCTTTTTTAAAATGGTAGCTTATGGTTTTCAAAGCTTTTTCATTTAATGTGTCATTTAATCCTTAAAAGCTTGTGAGCCGCAAATAAATTGGGATGTTGAGCACTAAGTGTTGTCAATCCAGCGGCCACTCGAGCACAGTAACCTTTTCCCTGTTCTGTATGCTTGGCCCAGTAACCTTACATACTTTAGGATGAACTAAAGCTAATTATGAGTTCTGTCCTTAGTGCTCTGTGTTTCTGTTACCAGCAGCGGCTTGGTACAGACGATGTCTTACTTGGAGGGAATGGGACTGTTACTGGCTTTTACAGGTCTTAGGAAACTAAATCTTCACCTCAAAGCAAAAGCCGACTCCCTAAGACTTACATTGTGAGCTACTGAGTGACGGGACTTTTTTGTTCCCCTCTCCTGACTTAGGTTATTACTGCAAATGCAGCGCCTTGCACATAGGGCCCTACTGTGAGGTGAGCGTCAACCCCTGCTCCTCCAACCCCTGCCTGTATGGTGGCACCTGCATTGTGGACAGTGGAGACTTCATCTGCCAGTGCAGAGGGTTATATACCGGTCAGAGGTGTGTGCATTTTTCCGTTTTAACTTCTGTGTGAAACATCTCCATTCACTTGTTAATGTTCCTGCTTTGCCGTGTTTATTGGCAGTAGAACTGCTGGGTTTATGCCTGTCACTTACTCCTTAGGTGCCAGATTAGTCCGTACTGCAAGGACGAGCCCTGCAAAAACGGTGGGACCTGCTTTGACAGCCTGGATGGTGCTGTCTGTCAGTGCGATTCAGGTTTCAGGGGAGAAAGGTAACTGGCTTTTCTCAAGACTTTATTTCTGCCTCTCTGTAACGTTACAAAGATGAACGGATGCCATGAAATTTTTTTTAATTGGGATGACGTTGCTTCAGAACTCGACACTTCTCGTACTAGCTTCTTATATTAGTTATCTTTCTGCTCTTTAAAATAAAAATTTGAGCAGGTGCATATCATGTTATAATGCTTGGAAAAAACCTACTTCCTATGCTTTTAAGATATTATTTATAAAAAAAGAGCATGTGGGTTTTTGCAGGAAGTAAATGTTTGTGGAATGAGTGAGATTATTATGTTTTTTTAAAGCAGACACCTGTGGTCTGCTGTCTTTGAAAGCGATGATAACGACGTCTTTTCATAATACACTGTAACTCTTCTGTAGCCTCTAGAAACCTTTTCCAGCTCTCTCATCTTTTGTAATCCTTACCATAATCCTAAGAGGTGATTATTATTTTCCAGGACAGAAAATGAGGCAGTGTTTTACACCTTGAAAGAGATAGATTGTGTTCCAGATGCCATTTCACCTTAGACTTTTTACCAGTTCAGTTTAAAAAATTACGCAGTGAGTGTTTTTCGTAAGTGCCTAGTGCTGGGCATTCCGATGAGCCTTCACCCTTAGTCTTGTCAGGAAGCTGTAACTGTGACCTGCGTGTAGGCATTCCCATGTGGTTTTGCTCTAGTTGTGGTTGTCGTCCTGAAGTTTGTCACCAGTTACATGGTCTTAATTCATAAACTGACTTTCCTAATTCTAATCCGTTAATACTTAATGTAATGGACAAAAATGTCTCAGCTATCAAATTTTAATGCCTGGTCGGTGTAGGGGGTGGTGTGTAGAAATATTTATTAAAGGAGAAAGGGTTTGAGAAGTGTCAGGTAGATCCACACAGGTGCAAAAAATGCCCGTTTGGAAAGGCAGAGTGGCAGGGACTTGGATGTGAACCGTTCTGTAAGGGTGAGGAGCTGTGGGAGGTTTTCAGTAGGGAGACACATTTAAAATGGAAAACAGAGTTTCCTTGCCTTTCATATGTTTTATGGAACTGTCATAATCCCCTAGAGGAAGATTTTTCTTAGAAATTTAACCTAACCTGTTAGAACAGTTAACAGCATAACCATTTACCAAAATGCACATTATAAATTTCTGGATCAGAATTAGAAACAAATTGATGTTCAACCAATGAGTTAGTGATCTGCTGAGTCCTAGGAAAATGGCAATTAAATAGGCTTGACCTCATGTTTATCTCCCAAATGCCCATTGAGTATGGAAACAAATGATTGATTACTCCACAGGAGGTTTCTTGTTGTAGTTATCGTTGCAAATAGTGTGTTTTGGGGTTGTCATCTATTTGATTTTGTTTTGAAATATGTTATTAAGAAGGGATTAGAGCCTGGCTAGTGAGGCTCAGTGGCTGAGTGTTGACCCATGAACCTGGAGGACACAGTTCAAGTCCGGGTCAGGGCACATGCCAGGGTTGCGGGCTCTATCCCCCAGTAAGGGGCATGCAGGAGGCAGCTGATTGATGATTCCCTCTCATCATTGATGTCTCTCTTTCTTTCTCCCCCCTCTGTCTCTGAAATCAATAAAAAACTTATTTAATAAAGGGGGGGACATTAGATTAGCCTTTCCTCTCTAAGACTCAGTAGGCCTGTCAGAGCCTGACATGCATCGCCAGGGTCTCTCCTCATCCGTGGCTCTCTCGGCAGGTGTCAGAGCGACATTGACGAGTGTGCCGGGAACCCCTGTCGCAACGGGGCCCTTTGTGAGAACACCCACGGCTCCTACCACTGCAACTGCAGCCGCGAGTTCCACGGGAAGCACTGCGAGGACGCGGCTCCCAACAAGTACGTGTCGACCCCGTGGAACATCGGGCTGGCCGAAGGCATAGGAATCCTCGTCTTCGTCGTCGGGATTTTCTTACTGGCGGTGGTGTTTGTTCTCTGCCGCAAGATGGTCAGTCGGAAGAAGAAACAGCAGGCCGAGCCGGAGGACAAGCACTTGGGACCCAGCACAGCTTTCATACAAAGGCCGTACTTTGATTCAAAACTGAATAAAAACATTTACTCCGACATACCACCCCAGGTGCCTGTCCGCCCCATCTCCTACACGCCGAGCATTCCAAGCGACTCCAGGAACAATCTGGACCGGAATTCCTTCGAAGGGTCTGCTATCCCAGAGCACCCCGAATTCAGCACCTTTAACCCCGAGTCCGTGCACGGACACCGCAAAGCAGTGGCCGTCTGCAGCGTCGCCCCCAATTTGCCGCCACCACCCCCATCTAACTCCCCTTCTGACAGCGACTCGATCCAGAAGCCTAACTGGGACTTCGACTATGACGGTAGGAACCACTTTTCCCATCTCAGGGGAGTGTCGCTGAGAGGAACAGCTAGATGAGAAGTTCTGCCAGGGCCTCTGCTGTTTCGAGTCCAAATGTGGTCTTTGTTAGTGATCAATGTGCTCCGTAGACCTCGGAAAGATTTGAAAAACTCTTCCAAATGCCCTGAGCCCTGGCTGAACATCGTGGCGATGATGGTATTTTAATTAAGGAATTGAATGTGGTCTTGTTCCGGTTAATCTGGAAAGATCATTTCATTTCTGTAATTGATATGGGTCCTCAGCTATAAATTTAGGGGGCTTTTATGATTAAAAAAATTGGGAGGGCATTTGTATGATAAAGATATTTTTTAAAAACATGGCCAGAAAAGACAAGATGGCTTGGGCAAAAGTAGGTTTACAGTTTGTGTGGAAAAAGACATGCAGGTGATGATTATGCAACAGCTTTATTGACTCAAAAGAATGTCACAACTGTAAACCTCTTTTTGCTCACCCCTGCATTTATATCAGTGGCCTAACATATATTTGATGCTTTCAAAAGAACTCTATGTACAATTTTAAAACAAAACTTTAGTTCCCCATATGGTCTAATGATTTCCATGGGGAAGTGTATTGAGAATTTCTACTCTGTGAATCTGCAAGAATGCTATAGGTTTTTTGTTTGGGATTTCTGTGTTTGATTTTTTTTTCCTCCCAAATGTTTCACCTTCTTTCCATTGCTTTTTATTCAATAAACCTCAGTCTTGGCAGTGCTTGCTCTGTGCCAGGGTACAGCCGTGAACAGGACACAGGCCACACCCTCATGGAGCCTGTTTGTCATTTCTCCCTTTTAGCTAAAGTAGTGGATCTGGACCCCTGTCTCTCCAAGAAGCCTCTGGAGGAAAAGCCTTCTCACCCGTACAGTGCCCGGGAGAGCCTGTCCGAGGTGCAGTCCCTCAGCTCCTTTCAGTCCGAGTCCTGCGATGACAACGGTGAGTGAGCAGAACTGTGATCCGCTGTAGTCGCTTGCTTGTTGGTCATAATCCTGATCGCGTGGTGTTACATATATACTACTGTGGATGCACCTGGTCCCCTTATTACGTCTCACGATGTTTCCACGTTTCACTTTGGACCACTGATAACACCTAGTACAGATGTGCATGAACATCTGCTGGGGAAACTATTTGAAATGTTCGCAGTGGGTTGGAATTTGAACTGGAGCAACTTACCGGTAGTAAGGAGGAAAATGTAATTAATTGAGGGATAATTTTCACCTTGGTGGCCAACCTTGTATTGACTTTTTTCCACAACAGAAAATGTTAGAAGTTCTGTGGGTTTTTAAAAGAAAACCCTAATAATTTTGTTGAGCATCAACTCCCTCCCTCATTCACTCCTCCCCTCCCACCCCTCTAAGAGGAGAGGGCATGGTCTGCAGCGTTCACTTCAGTGGCACCTTTGGTATTACAAGGTTTTTATCTGTTTCTTCCCCACTCCCTGTGGCCCCAGCTCCCATTTGGATCAGAGTGTACTGACTGAGAGCACAGTGTGAGAGATGGCCAGTAAGTTTCCTTATCTTTCTAATGAAGAAGGCTTGGCAGTGGGGTCTGTGATGCCATCACGTGTATCTGGTTTCCCTGGGGTAACTGCATTGATAACCAGCTTCGCCATAATAACACGTAACAGTAGAGAAGATAGTCAGTGTTCAGTAAAGTGAGTTTTTAGTGGGAAATTTTCAAATTCCAGAATTAATAAGGTTGACTGTAATTTTCTTTTTGCATAAAAATATAATGTGTTTAAAATTTCAAATATCTTATTGGTGGAAAGAAATAACCCACTATTAATTATTTGTTTCTAAATCTGGAGTAATGTAGCCCGTAATATATTGCAAACCAAACTTTTCCAAACTAAAGGTGACCATAGCACATTCCATTCATTTCTGGTTTCAGGCATGTTATGTATGATGAATGTGCCTGTTTATTATTTAGTGTTGCAGTAGATGAACATAGCTTTGCATATTAAACCAACCACAACAAAATAGAATTATTTTTTTCATTAGATTTAATTCTACAATATTATAGCTGTCAGTTTATATAATAATCTATATTTTGATCTCTAAATGCTCTTTATATACATTTCAGAATTTTCTTTATTTTCTAATATTTTCCCTTGAAACATTCTTCTTAAAACTCCTAAATACTTTTAATAAATTATGATCAAATTAGTTATAAAAATTAATTGCCAGATAATATAATGTGAGGGGAAAAAAAGATAGACTCAGGAGTTTGTATTTTAGTCTTGATCATATTTTTTTTATCATTATCAATTGTAAATTTAAGTCTGTATTAAGAGTCTGTACTTATATTTTTAGTTTTTGAAGGCTGCTGTAACAGATTACCACCAACACAGCAGCTGAAAACAAGATAAATTTATCTTATAGCTCTGAGGCTTGCAAAGCTAACCTTTGTCTCAGTGGGCTAAAATTAAGGTATAGCAGGGCTCTTTCCTTTCTGGAGAATCCAGGGGCGAATCGGCTTCCTTCCTATTTCTGGTTTCTGGAGGTTGCCCGTGGCTTCTCCCCCGTCTTTCAGAGACAGCGACATTGCATCTTGCTGGCCATCTTCTGCAGTCACTTCCCCTCCAAGCACAGCTGGGAGCGGCTCTCCCCTTGTAAGGACCCTGTGATTACACTGGGCTCACACAGATACTTCCAGAAACCCTTCCCATTGCAAGATCTTTAACATGATGGAATCAGCACAGTCTCCCTTGCCGGGGATGGTAACAGTCCCAGGGTCGGGACGTGGCATCTTCGAGAGCATCCCTCTCCCTACCACATGTGCGCCCCCTTCTCTTGGCATAAACGCTTTAAAACTGTCCGATGTACAAATGACAAGGAATTTACACAGGAAACAGCCAGGCAGACAGTCTGCATTTTTCTGCTGGTGGGTTTGCTTACCAGCTATTAACCTGTCCACAAAAAGGCAAGAAATTTGGGCTGGGAGTACATAGACAGAGACAAAGCTCTTTTTTATTTTTTGGTATTTATATTGCATATTTTACCTTATTATGTAGCTCTTTATATTTCTTTTTCCTGGAACAACGCATGAGTTCATTAAATGGACCCAGAAAATTGTCTTAGGAAGTATTTTACTCTTCGGATGCGAAGTCTTTTGCTCATGAGCTGTTAAAGTAAGGATTGTTTGTCATGACTGGATCCATAATTGTAATTGTAGAAAAACATACAGTTAAATTTTCCCCCTCAATTACAATATGATATGGTTACTCTATTTCCTTGATTAATAACAACAAATATTTAGCTTGAATAGTAAAATCTCTGAGATGGGGCCTAGCAAAGAGCACAGGAGTCGTGCATAACTGTTTTGTGTAGTTATGTTGATGTATTTCCTTCACATTTTTAAATTTCAAGGTAGAAATGACATAGAGAAACCTTAATGTACTGTGTTCTAACGAATTGAAGATTTTCCTAACTTCCTCCCTTTGTCCCTTCTTGCAAGCTTCCGTAGTGACTGTAATACGCCTCGTCAGCGCCGTGGTTGACACGGCGACTAACGGAGGTACAGTCGCGATGCGTGTGCCTGTGTGTGCCGGTGGCTGTCCTAGAGGAGTGCGTCCCGCCTCACGCAGTGTCAGAAGTAACCTTGCTTCTGAGGGGCTGGGACCTTTATTTGGTGCACGTGTGTGTAGTCGCAGTCCAGGTCCATCACAGGAATATTCTTGTCTGCGTTGTGTCTTTCTGTCACCTTTTGTCATTCGTAGTGAATTTCCAGGACATCCCATGTTACCCAGAGGATCCCGACAACTTGCCTCTATAGGGCAAGAAGTTTAGAAGTAATTCTGCCCACCTAAAAATATTTTTAGTATAAAAAAGTCCTATTCATATGAACAGGAGAAAGAACACACAGTGCCTAGAAACCCCTACAGCTGACGCCTCACTTTTGGAGTTTTCCCCACGTGCACGCGAGGAAGATGGGTGAGCTTGGCAGAAGGGAGATCTTCATAGATCTCTCCAAGACTGTGAGGAAGGGTATTGACCACCTCCCTTAAAATTACTTTAAGTTAAATTAGCCCTTAGTGTACTGAAGTTTGTGTAATCATGCGAATTGCACAGAATTAATCAGCTCACCCGGAGGGCTTGTTAAAAGCCAGCCTGAAGGTGGGTCCCAGCACCAGAGCTTCTGAGTGGGGGGGCCTGAGAATTTGCATTTTAACAAGTGCGCAGGGAATTCTGAGGTCACTGGCCTAGGGATCGTACTCTCAGAACCAGGGGCATAGGCCACCAAGAGTACATAAGACTTCGAGGTCCCGTTTTGCTGGGACATGTATGTCAGGATTGAGGGGAGAGAAGGGATGGTTCTGGGTCACATTTGATAGCGGGAGGCAGGCGAGAGGCCTCAGTGTTGCCGATCACAGTTACTGATGAGCCTGACGCTTATTTTCCTAAGAAGGACCGTGCTTTTGTTTGGTGAATCAGAAACAATATCTGTATTTTGCCCGAGTGAATTTTAGTTTTAACATGATGAGATCCTAATGTTTTTAATATAGATGGAGTTTAAAGAAGCAGAATTGGAATGGTTTTTTCACTGCAACTTCGTTTATTGGAAAATATTTTTTTGGCATATTTAGAAATGTAAATTGAATTTAAAATTGAGAGCTGGCTTAAATTTTAAGAATTATTGAGTGCTTATTTATTAACAGAGGTTGTCAATCCTCTTTTTATAAAGGAATTACTGCATTTTTACTAGACTATTGAAAAAACCTAATTTTTAGATACATGTTAACTAAATAGTGGCTTACTAATTTTTAGAGCCACCATGGTCTTTTCAGTTATTGATTTAAATTCCTAGAAGAGAACCATCAGTGAAATTTTTTCATTTCAAATTACTTTTTTACGTGGGTTTGTGAAAGTCATAGGAAGCATTTACAAAATCACTAAGGGTAACCAAACTTCTATCATGATCACAGCTGTCACCATAAGAATTTTGATGATAGCCAGCAGTTAGGGCTCGACCTGCGTTATCTTCCTTAATCTTCGTAATAACTCTAAGGGATTTCCTCCCTCATTTCAAAGATGAGAGCCTGAAGCTTAGCCGGGTTAAACAGCCCCCCTGGGCCTGGGATTTACATCTGCTTTCTCTCACTCATGCTGGGGCTCTGTGTATAAAATGAGAGCGGGAAAGAGTGAGTGTAATTCCAGATTTGGGTGGCGTGAGCAGTAAGTGTATGTAGCTCATGGTCCCTCCAAGGAAAAGTGAACAGTATAAATACCAAATCATACTCAGGTGGGGGGTTGGAGAGATTGACTGTTAGTTACTTATAAGTGTCTAAGTCCATTCTTGAGTGTGTCTGACTTTAATATACATTGGAAGGCTATAGTGTTTTTTTATTCAGTATGTTATGTAGCTTTAGATGCATTTGGGTTATCACCTAAGTGACCCAGTGCTACCTGGTATTAGACAAAAATGCTTTCATGATATTTCTCAGTAACATGAAGGTGTGATTTTAATTTTTAAATGAATTTACACTTTATGACAGTCTATATACTTTAATTATTCCTAACAAAATTCTGTGCTTTCAGGTTTAGATTGCCAGAAAGGAAAAGAAAAGGAAAATAATGTTTGCGTTTTTGGGCAGAGTCGCTAGTTCATCATCGGTCATCTTGTTTCTCCATTCTCACGTCCCATTGTTATATTTGTGCTGCATAAATGTCTCAGGCATTTTGAATTTTCATAGCTAATGGCTTGAAGGCTTGGTGGCTGACTGGGCCTTCATAAACGGTTTGCATTGTATCATGTACTTGTCTTTATTTCCTTTGCAGCCATCTTTCTGTTTTAATTATAAATGTTTTCTTTTTTCTCTATTCTGCCACCAAAAGAGTCTTTGGCTGCTCCTGACCTCAGCAAATCAAGAGGTGACTTATGCATGCCAGTCATTCACTGATATGCGCTAAAAAAGTTGGTAGAGATTGACCCCAGTGCTGACTTGCTTCCCTTGTTTGCTCGGTGGATGGTGGATGGTGGATGGTGGATGGTGGATGCCACAGTAACCAAGCACCTCCTTGTTTGTGCCCTGCATTCTAAACGCCATTGCCTCACCTTTCCCTCTCTGCCAAAGGATTTCAAAATCCTAAGGCAGAAGAAAAATATCCCCACATTGGGAGGGTTTTTAAAAAATAATTATACTTTTATCTCGTCTAAAATGGTCTGTAGACTTTTTTTAAAGTAACAAATTGATGGATGTGGTTTGTCAAAAACATGCTGTGTTTCAGTGTTTGATTGCATTTTGCTTGATTTGGAAGCATGCTTCGATACACACCTGTATTAATACAGTTCATTGTTTTTTTAGGGCTAATGAAAAATAGTGTAATTTTTTAATATGAAGCTTATTACATTATTATATGGGAAATTTATTTTTTAAATTTTAGCATGTTAAAGATTACTTTTACTATTTTAAAGAGTTGCATCAGTGAGTATTTTTTAAGGACAAGTAGTTAGTGCAAATCAGGTGACATCTGATATTTTACTACATGGAGACCTCTTTCTGAAAGGACAGAACTTCTTTCCTGATGCCCTAAGACTGAGGCCATCTTCACATAGAGCCATGGGTTCTGCATCACAGGAGGGAAGCCAAGGGCTGGAATCCTCTGGGGGAAAGTGCATGTATTAGATGCTAGCACACGGCTTCTGTTCAAACTGTGCTTCTTTGAATGTCAGGCACTTGCATAAAACTGAGACCACCGTTTAGAAAGTGAACCTAGTTCTGAGAGGGTCTCAGTACTGGGTTGGGGCTGGGGGATGCATTCAAAGCAAAGCGTAGGGGTCTCCAGATGATGAGCCTGCACGCGTGTGAGCCTTTGCACCTTTGTGTGTTTGATGCACCGAGCACTTTCTCCGTGGCCCAGTCTTGGGAGAAAACGCATTAAAATCTGTTCTTTTTTCTTCTACCCAGGCTACCACTGGGACACATCGGATTGGATGCCAACTGTTCCTCTGCCAGACATACAGGAATTCCCCAATTACGAGGTCATTGACGAGCAGACACCCCTGTACTCAGCAGATCCCAATTCCATCGACACAGACTATTACCCCGGAGGGTATGACATTGAGAGCGATTTCCCACCCCCACCAGAAGACTTCCCTGCGCCGGACGAACTGCCACCGTTGCCTCCGGAGTTCAGCGACCAGTTCGAATCCATACACCCTCCCAGAGACATGCCTGCCACAGGCAGCTTGGGTTCCTCATCGAGAAACCGGCAGCGGTTCAACCTGAACCAGTACCTGCCCAATTTCTATCCTGTCGATATGTCTGAACCTCAGAAAACAGGCACCGGCCAGAGCATCACGCGCAGAGAACCCTACGCCCCTTACCCTCCCGGGTATCCCAGAAACTGTGACGGGCCCGCCGTCGAGCACCTGCCCCTGTCTGTGTACTCCACGGCCTCCTGCTCCGATGTGTCGGCGTGCTGCGAAGTGGAGTCCGAGGTCATGATGAGTGACTATGAGAGTGGGGACGACGGCCACTTCGAAGAGGTGACAATTCCTCCACTGGATTCCCAGCAGCACACGCAAGTCTGACGCTCCAACTCCCCCTGAAGTGCCTGGACTTTAGTGAACCGAGAGGTTATATGAGTGGTCTGCGTTGTTCTCTGCAGTGTTGTTACCGCTTCCTTCGGTGAGCTGCAATGGGCATGGCTGCGCCGAGGCCCATGCCCCCACGTGTTAGCCATTTCCAGTGTCCTAACCTACTGTAACGGGAGCAGGTATAGTCGGCTGTGCCATGTCTGAAGTTTTTGGTTTTTTTTTTGTACTTGCATTTGTCTGTGTTAAAATAATGCAACGAAAATCAGCCCTACCATCTTGTTAGCATGATTCATGTATTTATATAGATTTGATTATTTTAAATTTCCTGTCCCCTTTTTTTGTGTGTAAATTTTATGTACAGATTTGATTTTCCATAGGCTTAACTCGATTTTCAGGACATTTTGTGGGTGTTTTTTTTTTGGACCGAATTTGGGTGGTGTTAGTGTCATTGCCTAGCACCCTGATCTTTTACTATAACCAGGGTTTCATTCTATGCCCTTTTTCACTGAAGTTTGACATTTCGTTCGTACATTTCAATGTAGTCATGCATTTCCAGTTGTACATAAGATGAGAAAAGATCTGATCCATGACACGTCTTAAATGGGTTGCTGTATTTTAGAATTATAAACATTTTTCATTATTGGAAAGTGTAACGGGGACCTTCTGCATACCTGTTTAGAACCAAAACCATCATGACACAGTTTTTATAGTGTCTGTATATTTGTGATGCAATGGTCTTGTAAAGGTTTTTACTGAAAACTACCATTAGCCAGTCTTTCTTACTGACAATAAATTATTAATAAAATATTTTAGCTTTATTGCCTGTTTTTCTTTCATATTTATACTCCTGTTCAGGATTTATTTAATGAATTGAGAAGGATGGATGGATGGATGAGTGGGTGGATGGATGGAAGAATGCATGTAGAAATAGCTCTGTGTGGCTTCAAAGCGAAGTCCCTTTGCAGTTGCCAAAACCAGGCAATAATTACAGATGTAACCACTAGGTGGCAGTATATGGCTACATGATACGGCTCAGAATTCTAGGCTAAAGGTAAACAGCACTCTTATAAGTATTTTCTAACTAAAACCTTAAGTTTTCCTTTATATATATCTTTATCTTATTACTATTTATTGGCTGTAATTTAAATTTTCACCTATGGTTTATATGAAAAAATCTTTTTGAAGCATTTTATCTTTCTGCTGTCAAATAACTCGCCCTACTTTTATATGATTTAATGTAAAATCCAGGTGCTATTTTCCCTGCGTATTTATAGTCAAATCCATCCATGCATCTGGCAAATATTTATTCACTAACTACTATGTGCCAACCACTGTGATATGAATTACAAAGAATCGAGTATTAGAACTTTGGAAAGACACTTTTTCCCTTTATGTAAATGCCTTCTTTATTTTATCAAATTATATATATATGTAGTTTAAACATCAAAGAGAGATCAGATGTTTAACAAAAAACTGCAAGTTCATGCACTCTAATCATAGCTCTTTAAGCTGTTTTTCTAGTTTTCTTTTCATATTTTTAAGTATACATATATATATATATATATATATAAAGAAGG